TGCCACCTTTTCAGATTGTTTGATCGATTCTGACGATATATATTAAAATCACGTAGTGATACTAAGCTGATGGGATTCCATCACTTCTCTGAGTTCGTTAGAACTAAATTTAATATATGGTAAATGTTCGACGGTAGGATTGAATTTTATATATTTCAAGAGGTAACATATGAACGGCAATTAATGAAAAAAGTGAAAAGCTTGGAACCAAACTTAGTGTATGAAGTGTTAAATTAATGAAGGCCCATTCAAAATATAGCATTCTTTGCGAATAAATATTGTTAGCTTGAGTGAACTAATAGGAGTAAAATAAAAGCCATGTGAAAAAAGGTTACAATGTTCGCAACCAGCGCGCCAGTTAGTAGTGAATAACGACTCTATGCTTTTCGCCCTATCATCCTCAATCAAGCAAATAAGCAGAGTGGCTTATCGACACTTTTAAAAGAACATTTCTGAAAGGAAGAAACGAGGGAACAACTAGTCAGGCAATCACAAAATTCCTAAAAGCTTATAGAACTAATTCTAACCCAGCTGTTTCTGGTGGGAAGTCCCCTATCGAAGCCAATTTTGAAGAAGCATTAGAACGCTATAATGTCACAATATGGGCAACAAAGTGTTAGTCAAATCATACCTCAAGAAGAATCGCTGGAAACCGGGGAAAATTGTACACAGATTGAGGATATTTCTGTACATAATCCAAGAAGCTTTTAGCAAATGTATCAGAAAAATGCCGGAGACAATCAAGTGAATCCTACATTAGAATTATTCACAGACACATCAACGACACATATGGGAAAGAACAGATTGATGACTTGGACGAAAAAGACAACAAAAAGGGTGAAAAGTCACCGCAAACCAGTTTTCAGGCTACAAATGAATTCCAAGATAAAATGTTACTCCGGGGAGGTGTTGGGAAAGCTTTTGTGCAGCCAACGCTAATAAACATAAATACCCTTGCTTTTATTCATGATTTTGATTTTTGCCCAATAAATACTTTCCCTGCTTCTTCTGTTTTCTGATTTGTGACTGTGGGGTTCTACAGGTTTGAATAAGGTTAGTTGTATATTGCATTCGGCAGCAATCAAGTAGAGGGAGTTACACAAAAGACATTCATGGGGTAGGAATCTCATAAATCCAGAAACATCAAAGCATTATTAGAAAAAAGAACGAATGAATTAAAACGAATGTCATCAACGCTATGCACTCACCAACAGTAGCAGTGGGGACGATAAATATCAAGTTTATAAGAGGCTGCAGTGGATCTCAGAGAAGTGCCCCGAAAACGACTTGACCGTCCTAGTGGGAGACCCGGGTTTTAAGGTCGAAATGGGCAATACTATGTATAAAGATGATATGGGATAATATGGACTGTGATAAAGGGATGAAAATGGTGAAAAATTTGGAAAACTATACGTTTTCAGCAAAACAATTATAGGAGGTACCATATTCTCCTACTAACATATACATAAATCCTGATGGCTTTCTCTCTACCACACTGTGGAGAATCAGATTGATTGCGTTAGCATCGACAAAAACTCCCGAATGTCCAGGAAAGATGTGTTAACAATTGGAGATTATAGAACTTCAGCTTAACAAATGAAGCTTAAAATAAAATCGGAAAAGCGTCAGACTTCTGGACAGATAACACCATAAGAGTTCAACAAAACCTCCTACCAAAACGCCAGCAAGCTCAGCAAAGAAGAGGAAAGTATTATAAATAACAACGGGAAGGGGATTAAAGAAGCAATAAAAGCAACATCTCAGGAGTCCATGGGCCATATGGCGTATCAAGATAAAGAGCGAATGTCTAGGGATACTCTGGGGAAGATTTAATAAAGGAAGAACAAGAGAACAGCAATGCCTAAGTGCAAACAAAACACCTGTAGAAAGAATTTCGCGTTTATGATCTACATAGATTTCTTTCAGTTGTATATTTCGCTTATGAAGAAGTAAAAGATGTCATTCTTGCTGTAGAATCCAAACTACAGTTTGGACTGAAGAATAGCCGTTCAGGTAGGTTAGACACGCGCCCTTGCCCGTCAAAATCGAAACAAGTAATCGGGTAAATAGCGGTTCTATAATTCATCATAAATTTAAATGTACATCGTTACCTAAACAAATATTACCACCCGGCTATTCAACCAATGATTGTTCAATCAATCAAATCTAAATTACAATAAATGAAGAAGTTAATAAAAGATGCTGGAAAAATTACCAGTCACAACAAATGAATGCTATTCTATCCTGACTGGATAGAACACGCACAAAAGGAGGAGCAAATCAATATGGCTGCCGCCAAGAACAAGTGTCAAGTAAAACAACACTGATGCACTTCGGGAAGAAACACGAAATAAAACTGTAATAAAATACAAATATTAAGAATTCAAATGTAATCAATGTACAATTAAGGGGATCAATAGGAACAAAGTGCAAGTGTATACATGGAGGGATTTTCACACACACACAAAACATTCAAAACGGATCTTACACCAGCCAGCCATTTACTTAAATCTGGGGAAGCTGACTGAATAGTGCCAGACATGTCGATTCCTGAGAGTACCGTCCTAGCTAATCTCTCAAACATTCCTCTCTAGCAAAAATGTTTGTTCATGGTATAGAAGATAATCTAGATACCAGACACACGTTTTATGACACTCAAAAGTGGAAATTACTGGGACGGTCTCTAGGTGTTAAGAACCAAAAAAGTGACTGTATTCATTATAAGCGATGAGGTTTTCAGTATTTTGCCAATAAAGTTTCCTAAAAAAGGGAAATTTCCTACCCAGTTGATAAATACTCCCTGCTAGCTTCGTAAATTTTCCTGATCTGTAAGTTGGCTTGTTTCCAGAACGAGTTATTTAAAAGTGAAAAACGAAACAATATTTAGACTGAATTTCGCAGGCAAAAGAGCCCAGCAGATTAGGGAAAAGGTTGAGAAGATGGATATGGGTATGAATAAATATAAAATACGAATCACTGACTGGGTTGATTTACGAATAATCGGCGAGTAGATGAGGCCAGACATCAGATATATACATATCCATGAGCAAATGGAAATGATACACTTATTCAGCACGCTTTTATTTGTCATTAGTGAAATATATTTACGTCAGCCTATAGATCATAAGGGACTGCGTTATATTACCATCTCTAGGTCACTGATCGGCACTACCATTATCGAGATATTCTGAGAAAATACAAAAAGTCTTCAATCTGGGATCCATGTGCACCCCTATCATTACATGCCATCCTTCGAGCTGAATGTACACTACCGCAGAAGATAATTCACGGTATATAAGGTAATAGGTACGAAGTGGTGAAGGACAATAAGTTGACGCGGAAAGACTGAGTAGACGACATAGTTCAGGAATAAAGTCGTGGTTGTAGTATATACATCTGTCGTCTTCATATTAAACATGTTGGTATGTCAGCAAGATTGCATTCATTTCTTAAACGTTCTACAAGAGAAGAGGATTCTAACTACCAAGATAATCGGAGTTGAAGTAGATAGTAATATAGCTTCGAAAAGAGATCTTATCGATTTGACAGTCACATCATGATCATTCAAATATATTAGAGTTGAGCTATTAATCTAGTAGCATAAAATAGATATCCATAGGTGAGTTGTCAATAAAACGTTATAAAAATGAACAGGAAACCTGTCGGATATAGTGTTAGGATAGGTATCAATTATCTTATTTAAGTAGAAAGGATTGACTCTTCGTGAACGACCTCCTCGAATCTAATGAATAAAATGGAGATAATGTGGATAACAATAATAACATTTTTGCCCCAGCACGTACTTCATTATGCAGGTATGATCAATAATTTACAACATGGGTTTATAGATAGTATAGGACTCATGTAGGGTTATTAATTAAATAAAATCAATGTGAATGACCGGTAGAGTACACATCCAGTGAGTTATTAAACAAGTTTTTGCGTTAGTACTGTACTATAAGTTTATACTTGTTATGGTTCAATCTTAAATTGCAACGCCCGCAGGCTTTGACTTTGGTGAACGCATATCTGGTCCAAACTCGTCATTCACGAATTATGGTACCGTTAAGTATTTATGTAACTAAACTATCTCACAAGTTTGTGTTTTTTATAAAGTAAATTTTGAAAGGCGTTTTGGATAAGCTGTGAATATAACCAAAGCGTACATTAGGCTTATGTTTCAGGTGTAAGAAGCCCCATCTCTGTGCAATGCTCAAAAAGTAAGGAAACAAGAGAGAGTCAACCGTCGACTTATTTATTCGAGATTTAAAGAAACAAATAAACCGATCGAAACCACCCCCATCAATACCAACAAATTCGGAATGCTACCGACAAACAGTAATTATACTCTTTCTACTTTGTTCTTCCTGGGTGACACTAGAAGGATACCCTTCGTCACTTTGATCACACAAAAAATCATCTCAGAGCATTAGACCTGTGGATCTGGATTTACATAATGACACATGCCAAATGAACTTTAAAATAAGATGTTTTATAGTCCTTAATCATGAAAACTTTTGACAATATACCTAACTTAGAACAATAAGGAGAATCACCCGACTCTATCTTGCCGCCTTTGTCAGGTTCAAAATTTAATGCTAACATTTCTAGTTGTGGTTTTTGAATTGCTTTGGTCATAGGTTATCACTGTTTGCTATCAATGTCTTATATTATTAGATGCAAACGCACCCCATATGGTTAGTGAGTGGTCGGCTAATATTTTCTACTGTTCTTAACTTTTCCATCTTTCCTTAAGCATACAACTCTAATGTACTTTCAGGCTATACTGAAAACCTGAAAAACGGTATGTACCTACCCGTTGAGCGACTTTAAGATAGAACACCATCAATAAAACAAGTGTTTCAACTCCAAGTCAGTGTCCTATCTCGATAATCAAAGACTGATATAATCTATTATCAATTTTAATACATAGAGCAAGAACAAAGATTGGTGCAGAATAATATGAATTCATTTTATTTCGTTAGGTTCTCATCAGCTGCGGTCCTGTTAAATGGCACATAACTTTAGTAACGAATTTTGTTCCATTCAGAGTATATTTCATTAATAATGCAGGTAATTTCTCTGCAAATTAACTGCTGATTAAAGTAGATGTACAACACAAGCCTCATGTATCGACACATAGATCCATATTGTGTTTACATACGGAACACAGGTCAAGGCACATCACATGGTAATGATAGAAAGAGCTTGATAATTGTGGTTGGCTTTGTATTAGTAAAAACTGCAGTCCTGTACATTGAATGCTTTTATAACTTAGACATTCCATGGTTAAGAAACTAAACTTGGTAAATATAATAACACCTAAAATAACTAAAGATATGGAATACACAAATGATCAATATACCAGAAATCACAGTACGACGAATTCCAGAACTTATGGAATATGCTGTTAGCTGGCGTGAGGAATGTTTTGATTTTAAAAAATAATTGTAATATATAATATCTTCCAGGAGTAGTGCCTAAAAGACTTCATCAGTGCTTGACATCATAAAAACGAAAGATATCACGATGTTTCTCAATACCTTCAGATTCAGTGTATGCTTTTCAGAAAACGACCTACCATATGAATATAATTCTTAAGTAGGTTAGATATATTATGCACACTAAATAATCTAAGCTTTAAAAAATACAGACGCCATAAACATACAAATGTTGATTACGGTTTTTTACTCATAACCAATAACCTGGAGTTTGATATAAAATGATTATGTCACATCACATATACTCCGTTTTGAACACATTACTAAAAAACTAACACATGAACAATAAGTTCTTTAAACTATGAATGAAAAAAGATCAGATAACATAATGGTTTCAAGTTTAAGAAAAAATACTGTCACAAAACAATTAGATTTAACATGACTTATTCAACACAATGAACAACAATCATCGTGAAATTAGGCATAAAATCTTGTTAAACAATATTAAAACTGCTTACATTACATTGTACACTCATTAAGCATTATAAAGTAAGATCAATTCACAACAATAACAACTGATGAAGAACTAAAATACGGTTTTATTTCACTTAAATTTCAGAGAAACGATGTACATTTGACAATTCAAAAAGGGTATTTACTATATTTGAATGAGAATAAATATAGTATTACCAATAGGAACTATAAAATATGGTAAATATACGAGTAAACTCTTATTTAATACCATCATTGTACATTAATAAAGGCAAAATATAGATGGATTGTGTAAAGGAATTTACATATGTTAACAAAAATGTTGGTGATTATGTAACATATGTAATAAAGATGTTGCATAATGGAGTGATCGGATTTTTATTTATCCAAAAGACAGAAACAAGAAAGAAATGAAAAGAAAATTTACAATGACTAAGCATGAATATAATTAAACTGCAGAGTTAACAGTCAGTTAATTAAAGAGACATGAACCCAAGACAAATAAATTATTAACAGACTAAGGGAAGACAGGATGAACAATACGATTGTATTCAGTAGAAAAAGAGAATAAAAATGTACACACAAATAAAGAAACAATAGGATGTTTCAAGAATATACAGAGGATGTTTTTAAGATGATATTTCCGCAGCATTAATGGTTTGCAAAATGGCAATGGCGGAATAAAAAATAAACAAAACTGAAACTAGTCCAGTGATATAACGCGAAAATAAGGGAAGTTTTTATTGTTATATTTACCACGAAATCACAGCCTGCACAAAATATTGTGGACAATCCCTATTTGAATATAAATAGAAAATGGTAGGACCTTCCAGTGATAACAATAAACGAAGAGGATGAAAAATGATATTTGATCGTAAATCAAGGACATGAAGAACTATCATCGGAAAGCTATGAAAGCAAAAAAAAATTGGATTGCTATAATCTGGTTATTTGAACATGTTAGATTAAAATCTAGTAAGAATATTAGGGGAAACCGTAAATATTAAATAAGAAATAGTGTAACAGTCTACAGGTCAGTTGTTTAGACAATATAATTTCAGCGCCCGGGACTTTATTCTATGTATTATTTGTCATGATACACATTACAAATATATAGCTCGTTCCTTTCTGGCGTAGCATACATTACCAACTAACTATCACAACAAGGATAATATCAACTGGGAAAATGGTAAACTCACACTTCATATTTATTAAAACACCTACACGTGAGTGATCTTTCTTTATTATTTTTATTAGTGAGGAAACAACCTGTAATTCTTCTGATTTTGCGGAAGTAGGGGGCTACTAATAGGTGATTTGTGTGATAGAAGTATGTTTCATAATGAAAATACTAATGAATTAGAACCAGACATTTGCATGTTAGTTAAATTTTAAACATGTATACATAAACACAATTACCATAATATAATAATAGTACATACCTTTGAAAATAAGGCCATCACTGTTTCTTGAATACTTGGTGAATTAGAAAGTCGAAGTGACGGAAAAGCAGTTGGTGTAGTGACAGCTTCACTGCTTTTCTCTACAGATGACACATTACTTTGACAAGATGATGCATCATTAATACGTTTGTGAGATCCCGATTTAGAAGAGGAATTTTTATTATACATATTAGTTACATCACCTAAGTTGGAAAGTAAAGTTTTTACACTAGGACGCAACGATGAAGAACGAACACGTTGGGATTGACCGGATACAATATTAAAAGAAGGTTTTTGATCCATATAATGTTGATCTTCGCTACATTCTAAATCAGTTAAACTTAATCTGTGTGTAAAAGGAGTTGACTGTTTCTAAATATTAACAAACAAATATAGAATAAAACAAATGAATAAGTTATCACAGTTGACTGATATGCGCGCTATTTTCTTTTGAAAGATAATACTAAGTGTAACTTGACTTTATACAACTTAATATTTGTTTCCTGATTAATGTTATATTTTGTGAATTACTTTAAAATTATTAAGTTTACGGATTTAATAATAAATTTAATAGAAGCAATTGGATCAATTCGTGCTCGATGGGTTCCATAATTAATTTACACAATAACGAAAGAGACGCATTGTGTCACTGAATAAAGGAGATTTCCTTTTCGACGATTTCATGTATTTAAGTTGTGCAATTATATTTATTTGTTAGTAAAATAAAAAGGTGCTAAATATTTTTAAAAAAAACTTGAAGCAGTGTGTTGTCGAAAATTGAAATTCAGATACTGAAAGGAAGTAATAATAATAATAATAATAATAATAATAATAATAATAATAATAATAATAATAATAATCGGTTGGTGAAAAAAGTGGTAAGGCGAAAATAATTGTCCACTTGAAAGCTATTAAAAATACAATAATTAAAAGTTGTAGTAAGTGCTTATTAACAATTGTGAAAATAATTGGAAACAAATATACATAAATAAATAAACAATAGATGATGGAAAACAGAAAGGGAGTTTAAGACCATGGAAGAATGAAGGAGTGAACATATTGTTTATGTACGCAACGGTTAGGCTTAAAATGGTGGGTAGCAATAGCCCCTAGTGTACATACGTTTTTCATTTGAATGCTTCTAAGGCCGACATTTCTGACAGTATGCGTGAAGCAGAGGAGCCGAAATTGTCTAGACTAGCCGCACAAAGGGACCACTTTAGAAACGCATCTCTGAACATTGCAGAAGTCAGTCAAAAGCTCAATCTTGCAGCCTCCAAATGGTACGACCACCAAATGCCCTGGTACAGCTGAGAGTGGAGAGTTTCCACTCTCCCTCTCGAAATCCTCTCACGCGTATATAGCCTCTGCCATGGAAGACCTATTCACTGCCTTCTCGTGGAGGGGGTGTTATTTACAAAAATGAGACGAAAAAAGCGAATCCCCGACGCTTTAACCGGATACGATGAGTCCACCAAGGGGAATTGGAAAACCCTGATTCCAAACCAATGGTGCACATGGGCTCCAGTATCCTAAAGGAACCAATCGTTGATCACTGGCTACCATGGGACTGCATCTCCTTACGATGCTCCACTGCCTTGTGGATAAGACCTTCAGGTCGAAGGCTCTGGGTGTGGTCCCCTAAGAAAACCAACGGTTTGGGTCTGGGCACCCGGGCAGTATCACAGCCCTCACACATATCAAGTGAGATTTTTGTGGCGCATATGTACTTGGTGCATCCTTGTACCAATATCTGTGTTAAAATAAATAAACTACGACTGAGTGTGGAGTCAGCTCTCCCTCTCGAAATGCTCTCACATGACCACGTGCATAAAAACACTGTCAGGGAAGTCCCACTCACTGCCTCCTCGCAGTGGTGGGGTGTTGTTTACAAAATTGAGAGGACGAAAACTGAATGTCTGGTGCTTTAACCAGTTTGGTGGATATGTAGGATCCACCTAGGGAAGTTAAGAAAAAAAACCTAATTTTAAACCAATGGTAAACATGGGCTTCAGAATTTAAGAGAAAAAGTGAAGTATGAACCTATCGTTGGTCACCGGCTACCATGGGAAGTACAACACTCTAACGTTGCTCCCCTGTCTTGTGGATCAAACCTTTAGGTCGAAGGCTCTGGGTGTGACTATCTAAGAAAACCATCTGCTTTGGTTCGAGCACCTGGGAAGTATTCTAGCCCTCACACAAATCAAGTGGCTTATGTGGCGCATATGTATTTGGTGCCTCCTCGTACCAACGTTTTTGTGTTTATATAAATAAATATCTAGGGACTAAGACAGTCTTCTGACTTTAACCAATTTTTACAGAATTTAACTTTATTTTCACATCGATACGATGAACTAGAAATATCCACCTAAAAATAATACAACGAAAAATCAGAAGTGAACTTCTCTAATCTAAATCGTAAAATCCAAATATGAAATAAAGCACATTTATACAACCTCATTTACTACAAATTATTTTAACAGTAATTTATACTTTGCTAATGAAAAAATATTTTTTACTATGAATTCCGATATTTAAAAACATATATTTCAGGTAGAAAACTAACGTCGGGGAAAATTTAGACAAAAATAACCCAATTTAGAATGAGAGAAATGGAGTTTTCTTCAATGATTTGATTTTTCAGTTTTAATAAAGTAAACTAACCAAAATAAAGTAACCGAACTAATTTAAAATTAGCGAAACTATTTAGTAAAACAGTTCACTGAAATTTTATATATTAGGTCCTCTGTAATTAGATTATGTTAAAAAACGGATAAGCACCAGTCCACCACTGTTAGACAACAATGTCATATGGTTATGTAGAAGACACATCATTGAAAAATGATTCATAAAAAAGGTTGGTAAGCTGTTCCTTTTAATAAATGTAAGGAAGGTATTCAGAGAAATTTCAAAACGACAAACAGACACACCTCTAGACGTGTTTCAAAAGCCTTAGATTCTATTTTTCTGGAAAAACGAATATAGTAATGACAGTGTTAAATGTGTTTACTGAAATAATTATTTAGAAAAAACAGTTAATGTAGTCGAATTGTAAAAAATAACGTCACATATCATAAGAAAAAACGACAAAAACCTTAATCTAATAAGATTTATACATTTCAGTACCGGAAACCTACATTGTGACTTTTGCAGGTGGATCATTTAATTGTAATTGCTTCTACTTAGTTTAAAAACTGAAATGATCAAGTGCGAACAGTCGATTATCAGATATGGATTCAATCAAAGGAAAGCTGTTGATCGTGAAGGTGAGATATAACAAAATGACCGAGGTAAAACAAAGCCTAAAAAAGTACGTTCTGATAAGCACTGCATAACGGATATATATATATATATATATATATATATATATATATATATATGAGTGAATCCCTGCCAAGTCCTTTTAATTCCATCTCGTTTGAAATGATATCTGGGATAATTAGTTATTACAACTTAAGCAGGTATACAATAAACATAAGTAAAATGATAGTATCCTTTATTTTGACGGTAGTGCAAATTCATATAATTTATTTCCTACTGTTTTCAATCAGTGAAACAGACAGAGCAAAAACATATCAGTTACATACAAAGTACACTTATTCATGATATATTTATCCCAGTTCACCTATAGAGAATGAACTCAGTGAAACTATTAGTTTCACCAAATATTGGTAGATAAATTAACGTAACATAATTTTTCTTTAGCTCAATAAATACTCGCAACAAACCTGAAGAAAAGAGCAATCATATTTATCATACAACGAACTATTAGTGAACTAGAAGACAAACCTTTAGAGCTTCAAGCGAAGCTGAGTGACTTTCAACTATTTACTGAACAAACATAAGCACCGAAAGATCAGATACAAATTAACATTGATGAAATAGTAAGTCAAAGTAGAGTATATGTTTTATATCTAGTCATAGAATTATTGATAAAAGGAAAATAATATGAAAAATAAGAATTTCTGCGCACTACTTAGTTCAATCACTTAGATATGGAAGTATATGATTATCTATGAAAGCTATATAAAGTTAACAAGAATAACTAAATAAACAAATAAACTATTATCTGATATAATACAGATAAAACGGAATTGGGTAGTATATATAGTTTTAGAAAAAAATTGTACAAGCATTTTAATTTGAAATGAAAGTATAACTAACACAACACCAATAATTAAGAGATCAACAAATATGCATTGCGTTTCATAACATAACTTGACTGATCTTAAACGGACATCACCAAATATCGATTTATCATAAAAATCAAGTTCAGCATCTCTTGTAAAAATTATTATTATTAATTATGACAAAGTGACATTAGAAAACAATCACGTCAGAAATCATAATATTTATTCTGATGTTTATGATCATTTCAAAATAAATAAATAAACAACGAGAAAATTTTGTCAACTACATGATACATTGGAAATGAACACAAACACTACTTATTAGCTTTAAAAAAATACAACTAAAAACGTTAAGATAAAGTTATAAATGTGTCGAAAAAGAGGTTACAATTCTATTGATGCGGATTAGACGCTTAAAAAAAGACAAACTATAATTACGTATATAAACACACTTTATGAAAGCAAAACTAAACAAACATGTATGCAAACCAAGTATTCATATAAATGTGTGAAGCAGTGTTGTCATCAAAATATTAATGGTGAATTCACTTTTTTTGTATTTAAAGACATAAACCTTAACTATCTGGTTGATATTTAAAAACGAATAAATAGTATGGTTAGCTTTATGAAATTGCGATTTCTTGGTCTAAGCTGTTTGACTTTTAAGGGCATTCAGTGAAGAGTTCCGAATGTATCTCAGATTTTCAGATGCATAGGTTGAGCAGTTCATAAGCTTACAAGTCAATTCCACAATTTACTATGATGAAAAATATCGTTCTTTCTTTCTAGGTATACCAAAATCCTTTTGATTGTAAAGTGCTATTTAGAATAGCGTATAAGTTGTTGAACAAGGAAGAAATGAAATAATTTCAGGATATTATGTAAACTAATTTACCAATCGTGGTTAATTTAATTCACAGATAATTAAATGTTTTTCAATGAGAAATATCTTATAGGGACTTTTGTTGTAAATAAAAGTTTATGAAAAAAACACACCAAAAAACAGGCTGATGCACGAATACGAATAATAAAAAAAATCAGGTTACTGAAATTAATTTTACAAAAAAGATCTAATGTAGAAATGTGAATATCAATTGGAAGTATTTTTAGTAGTTTAAGAAGCCAAAAATCTGTGCTTTTGCTTCCAATAATGAGATCGCTCAACCGCTAGGGCTTTAATTTTACTTCGGGCTGTGAATAGTGCATATATATATATATATATATATATATATATATATATATATATATATATATATATATATAGTGCGTGTGTGTGAATGTACGTGGTAGCAGACAGACATGCTCTTGTCATGAAGGAATCAACAACACTGGAATTCTTTCTTCATATAACACAAGGGTATTATAATGGATAGAAAATCAATAATTCATCAATCAAAAGTACAATGAATCATAGGAAAAATAAACAATCAAAACAACTACCTTACAGACATTAATTTATATGTGTAGACAAATCCTGTGAAGTAACAAAAAAGTAATTTAATGAGAAAAAGAGAACGCTAATTTAAGCATTTTACATAGATTATATTCAGTTTGCAAAATTTAAATTGCACAGAGAAAAAGTAAAATTCATACATAATTTACTAACTAATCGGTCTTTAGATAAAATAATGTGAAATCCTTACACTTATATCCGATTTGGAATATGCATGCGTATCAGTCAGTCACAAACAAATTTTCTGAGTTATTGATGTGTCAGAGATGAAAATCCGTCGAGTAAGGTGAAATGTGACATTTCAAGGTCAAACTATCCCATCCCTTTCTTCCGTTGTAAGGAGCCAAGATTGTTGAGGATACTCGTTACTGAAGGGAAACACACACCTTACTCTCATCACACCTCAGTAAAGTTAGCAGTACGACTTCACCCTTGCACCATGTGTTCACTGCATTTAGTCGCACCGCTTCTCGACTGACCTGTCTAGTATGGTATGATCTCAAAGAACAATACATCCGACCAAAATAGATCGTCCGGATAATTAAGGTTGGCAAGCCCGACCACTAAATCAATGTAGCTGCTGAGGTGGGGATATATATATATATATATATATATATATATATATATATATATATATATATATATCATTAATGTGCGATCTCTCATAGTACAACGTAAAATAGTGTCACTCAGTTAAAGGAGTGATTTCTCAGTGCCAAAGTCACATATAAACACAGAATGCGATAACTGGTTCCAATATTAAGAAAGAAAATCAGGAATAAATGAAGGATATTCACCTAAGACGATTATTTTATACCTCAATGAATTCAAGAAATAACCATGTATAATATGAAGCTTAATATAAAACGTAAGACAGAAAGGGTGTTAGGTAAAATAGCTTATTTAAACTTTACATTCAAAGAAACATTCCCAAATCCTGGAAACTACAGCGAAGTCACCGAAAAAAATCACAATAAATATAAGATTAACATCAATAACATTTTACACACGAAGTATATTCTATCTTGTTGTTACAATCATTTCTTCACTGAATGACTGACTTGGTAAGATTTAACATATATCCTAGGTATATAGCTTCATCAATTATGACACTGATCTATGTACAGTTGGTGCTTTAAAGGAAATATGGAAGTTTCAATATTGCATGGAGCTTGATCAGATTGAAAATCTCATTTTAATAGGTAGGTAGGTGTTCAAACAGAATTCAGCTTCTCATGAAGTAATCAAAACAATGGTTCAGAAATCTAAACACTACTTTAGCTGAATAAATGTAAGTTGATAAAACTGTTTTAACAATAATTCTGAACAATATCTATACCCGGTATAGATGCAAGCGAAGATGAAAATATTTTACAGTAAAAAAGGGAAGCAAAATTAAGATACTTCAATTTTCAATTTAAAGATAACAGAATTGTAAATTGATAAGTTTAAGTAAATATTCAGTGTCTCATGCAAAAATGGATTTTACAGAATATTCATCATTATTGAGAATTCATCAGAGGAAATATAGATACATAACAAATTAGTAGAAAATTTCCAAGTGTTTATACATACATAATTATTGAAGAGATAGAAAGTTAATTCATCAGACAAACGGCCTAAGTGAAGAGACGGATAAGTGTTTTTAAACATTTGAATCTAATCAAATAAGTCAGTTAGCTACAACGTAGGACCAGGCACATAAGTGCATCAGTCCAAGTTGCCATACCTCATTAACATAACAAGATGAACACCGGATTCATAGAAGTAGTGGTGATAATATATAAAAGAAAGATTGCATATAAGAACATAGTACTAGAAGAAAAAATTAGTTCGTAGAAAGAAAGATATGAAGCGATTTTAATCTCACAGTTTAAAGGAAGAAAGAAAGTGCATACACCTACGCCACTGTGATCAATTCTGAGCAATGTTACCAAGAGTCTCCAACGATTGGTTACGATAGTCACGCGGACCCCAACTAAGTAGTCTGCATCTACCAACATGGCTCAGATCAGAAGTTAATGACTTCAAGCACTGATGCCACGTTTTGGTTCGGCCACTTAAATTTTATTCAACCATCCGCAACACTAATCAGCACTGCGCGTCGTGGTAATCGATGTTCAGGCACAAGCAACACGTGGCCCAATGATCTCAGTCGATGAACATTCACAACCTCATCAACTGATTTACCATCATCCCCTAATACCCTGCGTCTAACCTCACTATTACTTACCCGGTGATCCCAGCAGATGCCAGCAATATTTCTAAGGCATCTGTGGTCAAATACTAGTAGCTTACGAATATCTTCTACTCTTAATGACCACGTTTAGCAGCCGTAAAGTGAAACAGAACGAACTGCCGCGCAGTATATTCGTTCGTTAATTGGTAGACGAATAGATCTAATAAGTTGCATGAATGAGAATTCCGCCCCTAATATACAGTTTGGATGGCTAAATAACGTTCATACGAAATATAGCTCAAAACTGACTGGAAACATTATACACACAAGTATGAATCTGAAAGTTACAGCTATCATTTTAATTAGAGAAACATGAATACGTTTAATCAACGAGAAAATTTTCGAGGAATAATTATGTTGGATGGTAAAACTTCTAATTATTTTATTGGGGATGATTTTTGTATCTAAGCGAATATGTCTAACTCGACATTTTATCTAACAAAGTACAACATTGTGGTAATATATTTAAAAACAAACACCATTCGTATGAAATAAAAAGTTTGCATCATGTGTTTAATTGCGTGAAGCTTACTTAGAAGCTACATAAATCATGGTCACTAAATGTCAAGTTTGTTAGTGCTTTGAGTACGAATTTTAATTTTTTCCGAACTGAAGAGATTTCATTTGAGGATTTACCACTAGAATCGATTATAAGTCATTTTCCCATTTTATATGAACATCACAAAGTGCTACCAAATATCATAGTACGGTCGAGGGTGGAGTCAGCTCTCCCTCTCGAAATGCTCTCACATGACCACGTGCATAAAAACACTGTCAGGGAAGTCCCACTCACTGCCTCCTCGCAGTGGTGGGGTGTTGTTTACAAAATTGAGAGGACGAAAAGTGAATGTCCGGTGCTTTAACCAGTTTGGTGGATATGTAGGATCCACCTAGGGAAGTTAAGAAAAAAAACCTAATTTAAAACCAATGATAAACATGGGCTTCAGAATTTTAAGAGAAAAAGTGAAGTATGAACCTATCGTTGGTCACCGGCTACCATGGGAAGTACAACACTCTAACGTTGCTCCCTGTCTTGTGGATCAAACCTTTAGGTCGAAGGCTCTGGGTGTGACTATCTAAGAAAACCATCTGCTTCGGTTCGAGCACCTGGGAAGTATTCTAGCCCTCATACAAATCAAGTGGCTTATGTGGCGCATATGTATTTGGTGCCTCGTACCAATGTTTATGTGTTTGAATAAATGAATAAATTAAAAATAAGATCCCAAAGTTGGTATATAACTTACAGATTGGGATTTTGTTATCGTCGACATTTGAGTCAATGAAGCATTATGATGAAAACCATCTGGTGAATTGTTTGGGTCGGAAAAAGGAAGGTGGAGTGAAACATTTGGAATATTATTAGGTGAAGAACCTCTTCGGTTACCGTTACCACATTTTTCTTCCAATACAGACTTGAATCTTGCAATTCGTTCAGCCTCTGTGAGAGGTGGTTCCCCTGGGCTAGAAGTGAGATCTAAAAGAGGTGCACCTGTTATTTGAGGTCCCATGTGCGAAATGTGACGAAAGTCTGAGGGACCTGAAATAAGGTGTGATATACGAGAAGTCCCACTTGTTGGATTTAATGGTACGTTTGATTGCACAGATGGTTGTGGAGTTCGATTTTGTGATTGAGAACGGAAATTTCTTAATCTTTCAGGACTAACCCCATGGGTAGTACTTGATAAACTGTCTTCCACAAGAGAGTACAAATTGAAACGACTAGATTTCTATGAACAAGATATAAGAGATCAAAATAATATATTATTAACAACTTTCTTAGAATTTGATTTTTGTAATTATCCTCTACTTTCACTTATCCAAAAATATAACAGGAATATTACGATAGTAAATATATTGAAATGAATTGATATTTCACTTTTTCGTTTTTATATCTAGTTGTCATATTTAACTTACCAGAAGTTAAAGATGGGAATGTGTGTAGAAAGATGTCGATTAAACTTCGCCTTTTTTATTCAGTATTAACATTTACTGATAGCATCGTGCTGATTAAACGTAATCGACTGGTTGTGAAAATATCTGCTGGTCAGGAAATGCAGTGATGAGAAGTATGGAAAATAAGGAAAAAATATACACATGGGATGTACGAAAAAATCCCACAAATTTTTCACGAAATAAGCTTCATAAGACATTTCAAAAACAACACTAGTGAATGCTGAGTTAGTTTAGATAATTCGATAGTTAGTTCAAGACAACTGTGAGACAAAGTTTAGCATACCTGCTGAATCGATGATTTTACAAGCTAATGATAAACGTAATACAGAAGAATAAAGTTATAAATAATAATTACATGCTTAAAAGAAAACGCTTCAAATCCTTACTAATTGTATTTATACTTTAAGATAATGAGTATCTAGCGATAAAAAAATTAAATATAATGTTACTAAACACTTCGGGTCTAAACATAGAGTTGCGTAATACACCGCATCATGTTAAACCATTTTCAAGTGACCTGTGTTTCCAATGACAGATACTCATTAAACTTAGATGTCGATAAATGTTCTTACCGTAGTGTGGGAATGTGAGGTTTTCCAGTGTTGCCACAGTGAGGGATGCTGGCAGGGCAGTGTCGTGGCTACGAAAGACGCCTGCTGGAAGTGGGGTTTGAACCTACGCGGGGACACCCCATGGGATTTTAAGTTCACCGCCTTAACCATTCGGCCATCCCGGCTGCATCACTATTAGTATTATTACCTTTTACATGCATATGCGCCAGGTTAGTAATTTAGAATGTACATCGAGTGAGGTGTACGCAATAAAACCAACTAATAATGATCCACATTGATGTAAGCAACATCATTAAACTTATTATACTTAAATCACATTTCATGAAATTAAGCACTTTACTATATTCTAGTGTTTTTCTTAACACAGTGACACAATTGGTTCGAGCAACGTCATCGGTTTTGTTAGAAAAACGGAAACCTTAGTATATTAATTCATATTTAAATGTTTGCAAAACTAAGTGAAGCAGAAAATGTTATTAATAGTAGCAAATAATTACTTGTTTTACAAAAAATACCAACACTTACACGCACGCGCCCCGTAACACCAAAGATACTAGACTGAGGCATTTGTAATCGCCTACTTCGTAACGCCGACACTTGTTGTTTCGACATTTCTTTGTTATCGGATATTTGAGGTAAGTGGATCAACCGTACCAGTTGCTGTTGTTGTTGACCAGAAACTAAATCGCTTGGAGAAATGTACGGTGGGGAAGGTGTAGCAACATTACTGGTAGAAGAATCCATGATACCACCAACTGCTGATTTACGAGACGACGAGTTTGAAATAGACGATGATGATAGGTGTGCAAGACATAAATGTGCATCCATACTTAAAGGTTGAACACGACAGGAGCTAAGTGTTGATACCCAGCAACTAGTGATAGCATTAAAAACAACTAAACCAGCCTCCGTAAATACATATAAATATGGATAGGAAAAGCTAACAGCAGTACCAGAAATAAGTTTGGCAGGCCACATAAGATTATCTGGTCGTGTTTTTTTACGATTGCTATTCATATAGACTCCACAATCTACATAACGAAGCAAAACAAACAGATAAGGAAATAATTTAGTTGTTTAAAAATGTATGAGTAATATGTAGACGACGAAAAGATATGGAATGCATCGAGAGACTGAGAACACTTTGCGCTTACTTTCAAATGCTAACAAAAACTCATCATCTCCCAATTGAACAGCACAATGAGCTTCTGACGGTGAGTGTTGGAAGAATGCCAGGCTAGAGTCAAGGTCAATGAGGTCTCCGCGTAATAAAACTTTTAAAAATAGAGAATTTGGAAAACAAATGATATTAGGAATCTACAAGTCATAAAACAGTTTATTTCTATCAAAAATTAGACAATATTTGCACAAATCCAAACGAAAAAAATGAAATCAGCGTGTATAGTAATCTTATGTAGGTACGAAGATACAATAAACAAACCAATTCATTCACCAGGTACATGGTTTTGAAGGTTAAACCGGAGAAGTTAGTGTGGGGTTCGAAACTGTGACTTAGTGATTTGAATGTCTAGTATCTTAACAACTAAGCCACTACTTTACACGGAGACATAAATTTTGATCTGATTAATACCTGCGAAAAATATATTACCTTTTCAATTGCTGGACGCAAAGCAAAAAACACATACATTCTTCTACTTGACTTTGAGCCAATCTAGTAGTGTTAGGGTAAGATAAACTACACAAGTTTCCTTATACACAGGATTGGAGACTGTGTATAAACGATTGAAAGCATAAAATCCCTGGTCATTTATTTTTACAGGGATATATAGCATTGAATATTACTAAATATGACTAAAAGTCACTAGTATTCTGGCAATACAATCCCTACCTTGAGCGGGTCCATCGGTCCATATGCTAAACATAGCAAAATAATTTGACGATCCAACACATATCCAATCACCATCTCGAACAAAATTGATAGATTGAACAATATACGGGCATGAAATTTCTTTTAAACGTTTATGTCTTCCTTGTACACGTGCAATTTCAAAAATGAACAGTGAACGATTACTGGCCACACAAATTAAACAAACTGTATTGTTTCGACTCATTGAACAAGTGAATCGAGTACATAATTTTGGTTCAGTAATTTTGATTGGTTTTAAATTCATTCCTTCAAATGATCCAACCAGTATTAATTTTAAGAATCGTTGTTTACCTAAATTAAGAAATCCAAAATCCAGATAGTTAAAATAATTCATTGATTACTCCGTTGAAGTATACGTTAGAGCAATTTATTTATGGAAACATATACAAAATTAGCATTAGTTTAATATAATGATTTGAGTGACTTATGATAAAAGCTTTTAAAAAAAACCAAAATACTGTACATTCATATTTCGCAAATGTATGTAAGTTTAGATTTAAATATTTTAACATATCAAGCAAAGAAATATGGTACAGGGAATTAAAATTGCATAAAGTTGATTTAACTAGCCAATCCATTCCTATGGTTGAAAGCTTGATGATTTCAATGATAAAAAACAGATGAGATAGTATTTTACTTAATGAATAAAATGACGGTGTATTTCTGTCTGACTAAAAAGACTAAACAAGATATAACAAGAGAAATATATAATTGGGAATTTGGTACTTGAATTTTTAGATAACACAAAATAACAAATCAGTTTAATCAAAAAAATTTTCTATAGTACTGTCAGCATAAGAACATCAATAAAAATCTAGTTTATCAGTATACTGACTGAAATATGATTCATCCCTTGCACTAGTAAAGAAACAGCTAATTATTCCAGTTGACAATTCTTATAATTTACTAGGAATGTCACCAAAATACGTTCGAATAGTTGAAAAAGATGACTAGCACAAAAAATCAACACTTATCAATACAACTATGGGTACTGGCTTTAGTTAGTATAAGAAAAAACCAAAGAACGTAGTTATTCAAGCGAGCAAAATTTATGTCTTGAGGTTACAAAATGTACAATATAGGCAACGGTGTAAAGAAAACCACTCAGACAATGATTTGTATGGTATCAAAAGCTTAGTTCAGTCTTAAGTAGTGATAATCAATACCATAGTACAAACGAAATAATCGATTATGAAACAGACTAAAACTTCATGTTGCCTCACTGATTAAACTATAAATCTACATTATCTTGACCAGAATGTTTGAATATACACTACACGTCCGCTTAATAATATTGAGATTTTTAAAAAATTACGACCAGGAAACTATAACAAATTCAAATTAATTTCCACAAAAAATATCTTGGTGATAAGATGAAAAGTGATCATTGAGAAAGTCATTCAAAAATCAACTAATATATACTAACCTTGTATAGCAACAGCTAATTGAAGTTCTTCAGCTAATGCTTCAACTTGATAAACTGGTTTACGTGCACCTATACGTGTATTGACTTCATAAAAACAAAAGTTAATCATTTGAATGAAATTAACAAGTTATACGTCAAGAAGACCGTATAAAACTGAATACACAAAAGTTTACTTTTGAATATAGATTCATACAAGTTTTGAATTCTGTTCACTAAAACGAATTTCACCCTGAAACAAGTAGCTTACACAAAATATTGAAGTAAATTATCCACTTGACAGTTTCTAACAGCTATAAAAAACAAGACTGGCAAGATGGAAAACACTATAACAACAAACAACGGCAAATTCATCTGGGACAAGTCTCTGATAAAGATAGGTAGACATTTTATCATCAGAATCAACATGTGATTTACCGTGACTGATTTTATGGGTTAATTATATTACTATCATTACGACAGAATTGAAGTTGTAAGTCACATCAACACGTTAGAATTACTGCAGTTGTTTCACCGGATAATGGCGCCAACTTATTTATTTATATAAACACAAAAACGTTGGTACGAGGAGGCACCAAATACATATGCGCCACATAAGCCACTTGATTTGTGTGAGGGCTAGAATACTTCCCAGGTGCTCGAACCGAAGCAGATGGTTTTCTTAGAGAGTCACACCCAGAGCCTTCGACCTAAAGATTTGATCCACAAGACAGGGGAGCAACGTTAGAGTGTTGTACTTCCCATGGTAGCCGGTGACCAACGATAGGTTCATACTTCACTTTTTCTCTTAAAATTCTGAAGCCCATGTTTATCATTGGTTTAAAATTAGGTGAATCCTACATATCCACCAAACTGGTTAAAGCACCGGACATTCACTTTTCGTCCTCTCGATTTTGTAAACAACACCCCACCACTGCGAGGAGGCAGTGAGTGGGACTTCCCTGACAGTGTTTTTATGCACGTGGTCATGTGAGAGCATTTCGAGAGGGAGAGCTGACTCTCCTCACACTTGGCCGTACCAGAGCATTTGAACTAAGTACGACTTGCAGACAAAACAACAACAACGCAGTTATCAATCTGACTAACTTTTCTATATTGAATATATATTGACGATTCGATGATTTAACGACAAACAAGATAATTGTAGTAGTCATAAAAGCGGATTCTTAAGAAATTTACCCATCATTTAGTAGGAAAAAAAGTAAACTGAAGATCACTTATTAACTTTAGAAAATGAAAATGAGTAATCTGAAATTTTACAAAAGGGTGTTATTTAATGAATTAATATGCGCAAATGATTATACAATAAGAGTTAACGCCATAGAGAAAGTAAGTAAAGATGGTATGCATGTGAGAAAAAAAAATGTTAAACTTGTTCCAAAGTTCAATTCAACGTAATATATATCGGAAACTATAAAATGGGGATTTGTATGAAGGCCTATGATTAATAATAACATTAAGAAATAAATGGAATTGCGCCACTGTAATTTATTTTGATTCACTCTAAAATCCACGGTCAGACATAACAGTTATTTTGTGGAATTTAACTAAGAAGTCAGCGACTACCAAGACAACTAACACTGCCAATCAATAACTTTAATAAATGTCATTTTCTATTTTACTAGCCCACAGTCCAATATTCTTTAATATTGCATACCTCTGTACATTAGAGTAGGCAAGGGTTAGGAATGAGAAACATATTTCCAAATCACCCCGATCGATGCAAGTTTACAGCTTCATTAATTGAATTACCATTTTCACTGAGATTTAACACTACTGTCGCTAAGGTGATGGTGCGACCCTAAGACTGAGAAATTAATGTGGTACAATACTTAGGTGCTTTTTTTGTTAAACAAAAAACAACTTACTATTGTGCCTAATATCAACAATATAGAGTCCTTCATCCGTCCCAGCCAAGAATCGGTATTCATCTACAGACATCCAGAAAAGTGAAAAGTAATAATAGAATTAAATTAGGGATATGAACACTCATATAATTCGATAAAAAGGTTTCTATGGAAAACGTGACATAAGAACTTACCTAAAACTGAAGCACAATTAATTTGTTTTAATATGACGGATACAGAAGACACAGAAATATCACGCACTTGTAAACACTGAGAAAAAACAAATGGAGAGTAAACAACATCAAAACACATTAACGGCAGGATAAACTAATTGCACAACTATACTGTTTTAATGTAAATAAACAAGCACTAACAATAAAAATAATATTATTGGATTAAACATGATGTTAAACAGAAAGATAAGAAATAAACTGAAAAGTTCAAATTTGTTTTATGTCTATATGAACTTATCAAAATATTATAAATGTAATTTTTGGTTACTGTAAATAGATTAAGTAATATCAATCGATATATATTACACAATGAATTCATTGATAAACTTAATGTCGGTTCAACGACGGTCAGAAATAATTACCGTACAAATTTCTATGAATGAAATTCTCAAGTATATTACCAAACATGTGACTTCAAGTAGTGGCGAGCAAAATTAAAGGACTGAATGAAATCGGAGAAAATGTGTTCAGAATTCAGAGAATAACAGTGATGATAAGACCTTTACTATCTCTACCGGTTTTGACCATTGACACTGAACTCACTCTATAGCTACATAACAAGTCAGTCAGTCAGCTACAACGTAGGACCAGGCACATACGTGCATCGGTCCAGGTCGCCATACCTCATTAGCACAGCAAGATGAACACCGGATTCATAGGAGTGGTTAGGTCAAAGGTATGAAAACACATACAATCGAATAATGATTCACACACCTAATATTCTACTTGTTAATTATGTATCATCTTAATGCATGATAGAGCACAATATGACGATAAGTACGACAAAATACAGCATGTCCGGAGAAGTAAAATATGGAAAAGTACAAGTTTAACTACAGAATGAAAAAAGATAAAAGTATCAGATCCCTCAAAAACCAAACGTCAAGTCATTTTGTGCATGTTTGTATGTTAGTCCGAATCATGAAGTAGACAATGATCAAATAAAGTAATCATAGAATGAACGAATATATATATATATATATATATATATATATATATATATATATCGCGTGCAATAAACAGTTTTGTAGAATATTCTGAGTACAACTGTTTTCAATAAATTCATAATTAGGTACATTTGTATGGGATTTTACTCTCACAAAATGAAATATGAATAAAACAACAGAAAATAATTCAATGGTTACTTTAAGTTGACAGAAAATTTAAATATGAATTATGTCTAAAAGACATGATAATAAGAACAACGACAACAGTCAACATAATAATATAGACGAAAGCCAAATGAGTCATCAGAAAAAATAGAGAACCATGATCAATGGTTGGAGCTAATTGTGATAAATTTCATACAGAAGTATTTCTTCATATATCTCTCAACAATAATTTGTAATAATGACCATATTCTATGAAGAGAATTAGCTAGCAAAGTGATGTAAAAATAAATAGTAAAAATAGTATCGAAATTTATTAAGTCTAATAGTCGAATTAAGGAGAATGTAGTTGAATTGTAAGATCGGTTGAGTGGTATGAACGAATATTTATTAAATAGATAACATATTTCACGTTGCAAGAACAAATTTATAATCGAGATTTTAGACAGAAATTAATTATACACTCTCAATGTAAACTTTATGGTTGAATTAATAAATGTAGTAGAGTTTAGTAAACTATAACAGATTTAAGTATAAAATTTTGAATCAAATTTATGAGTGCATGCTATTTATACTAATTGGTCTTCTAAGAAGTAAAGCAAGACTTGAACTTCTGACATCATAATTTTTACTATAGAGCGAGACGTAAGGGTCCTGAGTTCCACTGTCGAGGAGTCCTATATAAGGAAGAAACAGCTGTTCAGTGCTTGCTGGTCTTCAATGGTTATCTAAATAGGATCAGTCAGTAACGAAGACTATGAAATTCAACAATCTCCGCAAATCCTTTGTAGTAATAATAGATGTTAAGTTAAAATAAAGTAATAATTCTGAAGATTCTTTACTTACTGGAAAAATATAGGTCTATAGTAAAAACAAAGAATCAATAAAAAACATTTGAAAACGAAATATCTTTTTTCGGAAGAAACCAGTAATATATTCCTGATAATCGATAGAACTGAAGTCCGTCAATCAACTAAAGCCAATGCAGAGCCCGCAAAATGTGCATTAGCCTCAAGTTGCCACATTACCATAACGAGATAAAATTAATCAGATGAATCAGTGAAAAAATCGAAATAGTGTAGCAGCAATGACAATGAAAAGTATTAAACATTGGGAAGATCGTTGAAAAAAGACAGAATGAAAAGGTATGTATGGAGGAATACTGGGCTTAAAATCTAGAAAACAAACCTACAAGGAACATAGCATAGTTTAGTATAAAAATTTCATTAAGCCAAGAGACTGTTAAGGTAAACACAAAAAATCTAACTCCGAACACTTGGCTACCGATGAAATCACAAGATTCTCAAACAAAAAGCAATTTAAAACAAGTAACCAATTAAAATACATGATAAAACTATGTTGCCGACAAGACGTTGCATTAAAAAGTGGAAACATTTGAAATGAACTACTTTATATATGATGAATTCAAGAAACTTATCTAAACAGGTAATATCATCTACTGAATACTGCTGGGGTTAGGGACAGAATAAAAACAAAGAAAATGAAGTGGAAGTTTTTGAAAGGATGCAGATGATTTGACAATTATGTTGACATGTGTTGATTGAAACGGGATGGAAATGTGTCATAGTGAAAAAAGTTGATAACAACAAAAAAAAAGAAAACATAAAATAATATACATCGGGTATTCGAATAATCAATTATATACCTGCGTAAGCGGCTTCAAAATATACATTTTTGTGAGATCTGGTTATGTCAACAGGTTTTTAAAACTAAAATGAGTAGAATATAGTCTGAACAAACAACTCAATAGTTGAAAGTCTAATGCTGTAACTAGTAAGCCACTGATGGTAGCAAAAAATGATATAAATTGGTCGCATCACTGGATAGTGTTGTGACAAGTATATGAAGTGATAAAAAACGATTGTAAGAATTTTAAATGAGTACTTCACGTCCATTTTTCACAATTGCAATCAGAATCAAGGCAGTAGAGATGCGTGAAACTAAATTTATCTATAACGTTTATTTAACACATGAAAGCCTGTCATAATCACAAACATATGGAATATAAGTTGAACAATGACCTTTTATAATAAAAATAATATTTCACAATTTCAACATGGAATGTATACACCGATAATAATCTATGAATTAAAACTACTTGAATACATAAATCACTCATCAAAAAAATCTACAACATACCTGCAATTCACTATCAGTATTGATATGACGCTGTAGTAATTTTAATACATCTTGAATTAGTTTAAACCAACATTCACAAAGTGCAGAGCTTTCAAATAAGAGAAATAATGGAGCGCTCGGAAGATAATCATCCACAACAACCTAATAAATATAAAAACATTGTAAATTATAAGATAGATTAATTTAACAATCCCAGTAGGTTGGTGTGTTGAGAAAAATCAAACAACACAAGTACTCCGAGATTAATACAGAGTAGTCGATGTAATGTACAAGCTACATTACAATATATTAAAAGATCAGTCATTAGAAAATCCAAAAATTCAACTAAGAATATTTCAAGTCGCTAGAATTCGTAGACTGCTTCATTATCGTTGAAACAAGATACATAAACATTTTCTGTTAAACAGTCAGTTAATGAATAATATATATATTCGATATTTTTCGCCTTTCCGCACTATGTAGGAATACTTTTTCTTGAGATATATGTACTAGTAGCGACGATCTTGTTGACCTGAAGATGCGGAATACGATATGAAGGAATAAATTCGTAAACCAAAAACTACACTACATTACTGAAATGCAAGCAGTCATTTAATTTACAATGAATACAACTGTAGCATACATCCAAAATTATTCACACAATAAGGTGGAAAAAAAGCTACAGGAAGAAGGTAGGAAGTTTTACCATCAATCAGAGCACGTTAATAAATATGTTGTACTTGTCCAATAAAACTCAGATATCGAAAACGATTTATGTTTGTACCAATCTTACTCCCGAATTTATCAACGGGATTTATTAATCTTCCAGATAACTGGACTAAGGAGAATTTTATATACCGACGACAATAATGGTAAATGTTGGGCTATTAGTATACATGTATTTCTATTGTATAATTAGTAAGTAACTAAACTATAAATATTCATATTCCTCTTATTATAAGCTTTATTTTAACCTATAGACTATTATTATACGATTTACCATCCTTAAGTTATGCCCAGTTTATTAATTACGTTCTCCCATAATTACAGCCACTTTTGGCTAGAACTTGTACAAATGTTAGTTTCTATTTTATGGTGTGATGTGGTCTGTTTGACTTGTATATAAACGCAATATCTTTGAAACATATCATTCATATAACGGAGGCTGATATTTGCATGCTGGACTGAACAACCAAGAAGAAGGACTCGAGACTGCTCGTACGGGTTTGTGCGTCATTGGTCGATAAGTCGCTGTTCTTTAATTGGCAGTATCATTACGCTATAACAGAGAATGCAACTGATAATTAAGTAGAAGCTGATCTAAGAAGATATGAAATAAAACCTGAAATGATGTCAACAGATTTATAAATGCCACTATACTAAATCAAAGATATGTTGGGAAAGGCAGAAAAATAAATCATACATTTTGCCTAAGGATATTATATTGTCGAATGACTTGTTTAATAGCGATTTTACACAAAGTCTGATAACTGAAACCTATCGCAATAAAGCACTTCCATTACATGAAGGAAACACCGTTCCAAATGTAAAAAAAGATAAGTATAAAAAAAATACCTTCAATATTTTTGGGATATCTTGCTGCTTTGCATGGATTACATCAGATGCGGTTACATAAGATACAGAAAAACCAGAACTACGTAAATCTACAATTCGACTTGGACTGTTCGACTGGAACATGGGATTTGTAGACGTATTTAATGAACTCAAAGAAACATTATGACTATTTGATAAATGGAAATTTTGAAAAGTTGGAGATAACGAATTGCCACTTCCGTTTAAAGCTGCAATATTTGACGATTCCGAAACAATCTTTATCCAAATGAAGAAATAAACGAATAAAACGATAAGTTCATAAGAAATTTTAGGTTCATAATGAATTTATTACTTAATACTATGCTACAGTGAAGAATTCTTGGATAAACATAGGAAAAGAAACAAACTTTTAAACACAAGACAGTAATCAGAACACTTGAAAATTTTGCGCATGTCTTTTTATTTTTGACTCCTGTGCTGACAGATGGAAATGGCAAAAAGAAGAGCAGGAGAAAGAACAAGTAAATATGAAGTCAGATTACAACAAAACGGGTATTGTAAGCAAAGATGGATAGTGGCTAGCGGTGGAATCCAGGACGCACGTTTCGTCCTGTTTGGGACTCGTCAGCTGGATGTACCTGCATCTCAGAGTTGATGTTCACTCTGGGACTCAAACTCAGTACCGTTCGCTTCAAACGCCATCGCTAAGTGGATAACACGATGCTTGTAAATTTAAGGCAATATCGAGGCATACGCACAGTATGCATATATGCCAATAAGTGACTGATCAATTTCAGTCCTAAGACATCAATGGGAAGATTCAAGTAAAGCAATATCAAGTGAATTAAAATGGGTATTGGTCAGATTCTTTGCTTCATAAATTATTCCAAGCTTAGAGATAAGTTTGAACAGATGAAAGTGAATGATTTATCAACATGTTGGAGGAAAAACACATGTGATCGAATCTACATGAATATATCGTGATAATTTACTTGCACGAAAAAAAATTGACAAACTACCAATTCAATAACAGTTAATTGTTTAAAGTTCACAAGTATCGTAGTCCAATCCAACAGCATAATAAAACTAATTCATTTTATAGACATACTCAACTAGCATTCACACAATTTTAATTGACAGATTTTAACAAATAAAAGTGCAAGGCAGAATCTAATTTATGGCCATTTGATTGCACGATTTTTTTTCATACAATCATGTAACCGAATAAAATTATCCGATAAATAAAACATAAGCTCTACACATTGGATTATTCTGGTAAATTGAATTATGACGAAAATTCTTAGAAAGTAAACGTTTAACATTAAGGTGAAATAGTCATTTAAGTTAATATATATTTATCAAGTTGATCGGAAAAACACATAAACATTAAAATTTAGATGTATTTATTAAGCTGTGCAGTGTCTTCACTCTGAACTTGCTATCGACTCAGAATACACATATGACATATTCCTTTTTGGTGAAGACGCTGATGAAATTCAGAGTCTTTCAGCAAAACTCAGCAACAATGCCAAAATGTTTGGAATGCGCTTCTCTCCCTCTAAATGCAAGTTGTTGCTTCAGGACAGGTCTGCATCAATACCTGAACTAAGAATAGGGAGCGAAGTGGTCAGACGCGTTGGTAACTTCATTTATTTTGGAAGGCTGATCAGCCCTAATGGGTTGGTAACTGACGAAATCTCAGCACGGATTCGAAAAGCTCGTTTGGCTTTTGCTAACTTACGTCATTTATGGCGAAGGCGAGATATCCGTCTATCAATCAAAGGACGAGTATACTGCACGACAGTTCGTTCTGTTTTACTTTACGGTTGCCAAACGTGGCCAGTAAGGGTAAGAGATGCTCGTAAGCTACTAGTGCTTGGTCACAGATGCCTTAGAAATTTTGCTCGCATCTGCTGTGATCACTAGGTAAGTAATAGTGAAGTTAGACGTTGGGTATTAGGTAATGATGGTAAATCAGTTGATGAAGTTGTAAATTTTCCACAACTAAGATGGTTGGACCACGAGTCACGTATGCCTGAACACCAATTACCACGACGTACAATGCTAACCGGTGTTGGGAATAGTTGGAAGAAAGTTAGGGACGACCAAACCAAAACGTGGCACCAGTCCATAAAGTCACCAACTTCTGATCTGAACCATGTTCGGTTGGGGTCCGCGTGACTATCGCGACCAATGGTTGGAGACTCTTGCTGACATGGTTCAGAATTGTTCACAATGGCGTCGGTGTATAGACTCTTTGTCATCCCCCTTAACCATGAGAGTAGAACTACTTTATACCTAACTAAGAGCTTATTCCTTCTTCCTGTACTATATCCTTATATGGGATTTTTTTATACTATTACCACCATTGAATTAACTACTTCTGTGAATCCAGTGTTCATCTTGCTGTGCTAATGCGGTATGGCAACTTGGACTGATACATATATGTGCCTGGTCCTACGTTGTAGCTGACGGAACTTGTTATTCAAAAATAATATCGACTCTGGGATGCAGATATACCCAGCTAGAATCTTTGTTCTTGCTCTTTTCAGAATCCAGAATAATAGGAAACGTGCAACCTTGATTCCACTGCTGGTCACCATCTATCTCTGCTTATAATTAATTATCTGGGTTTTTTTCAATAACGAATTTAAAGGCATTGGCGTTTGTTGAACAACCATGCTTAAGCTAATAGAAATAATGCTACTAATAGAAATAAGGCAATTTGCAGATAATTGTAGATAACATAAAGAAAATTCAGTAAAGTCTAAAATTAATTACATTACGGAATTGTAAAACTAAATATGAATATAAGACAAAGTTATTCATTTGTAGAGCTAGCATTACTTGATCGAATAATATGCCTATTATGTAGGATATACAAATATACCCTATACTTATAACAGGAAATAAATTTCTCTTTAATAGTTCATTTTGTTTTGCTTTTTTCGACAAATTTTCGGTGTAAACGATAGTAAGGTTAACATAGATTGAAACAAAAGATACGAACCACATCTTTAGTTCATTTATATACTCTTAAAAATAAAGAAATACTTACATCGTAAAAGAATAAGCGCTTATCAGATAAAAATACACGGTATTTCATCCATCCACGTTTGATTCCACCCAGTTTGGGCATCTAGACATTTAGAAGTAACAACAAAAGTGAGCATATAGTCAGATGAATTTTTTAGGAATAGTATGATTAGCAAATCCATGAAAAATTATTCAACGAAACATAAAAAAATCACTGATGTTAACAAAAGTAGAATCTCTACAAAATATTGAGATGAAAAATAACATAAATAAAGAAAACTTTTGGAGATACGAAACTGATTTTCATCAACTACGTAGAATGTACCATACAACTCATTCCGTTTCATCTGAAAATGAGAGTGATTACGAGAGTAGAAGCTGTAAAGAGACTGTAATTTCAGTCTTATAAATTCAGCTTTAAGAAAACATACCTTAAATTTTAAGTGAACTATTTTGTTCCTATTAATGACTCTCATAAAACAATATAACTTCCAAAGTATGGCTATTGATCCCCATAAAAAATGAGATATAAAGTGCATAGAACGGAAAAATCTCGATACTGAATTACAGTTAAGCAATTAAAAACTTACTAACTAGGTGAGTCTTATATTATAAAGCTGAGAGGTTGCATGCTTGCGTTACGTAATTTCATTTACAGAATGAGACCAATCATACAGCGAATGTACTTAAAACTATATTTAAAGTTAATATAAACCTCCAAAGTATTAACCTGAATCGTCGTAATCAACATAACTGGTTTGAGGTAAGTAAAAGATTAAGCAGATACTGGAATGATACAAAAACACAGAAATTATCGAATAGTTGCAAAATTCACCTTTACATCACTTTCAAAATCAGCACCAAAGCCATGTGAACCATCTAAAATAAACCAAAGAACAATAACCAGATGAATAAACTCCAATTAATTATACACTTGAAAAGTTCAGTTTTATGATCTACGCAAGGTGACTTTGAGATAACTGGGGACTGAAAATCAGTCAGATTTAATTCCAAAAGATAGTCGATACATCTAATTGTAGATTTTAGGAGTAAAGACTTGAAATATATAAGTGGAACAATTGTGTTTCTCTTTCATGTTCCTTGAAAACCTGAGCTTTTATATAACTCTAAAGTTCATATTTCTCTTATTTATTGGTTCTTGTCGATCTACATTATCAATTATTATAAAAAATTTACGAGGATTTTGTGAATTTTATAGTCAACATTACGGACTAACTTTAGTTTGACAATTATTGAAGGTCAGGCAAAAGTGGACAATTGTTTCATCTTAGCATGGGATTACCCTGAAGTATCCATCATCAACAGTCACCAGGAATCGAATCGATGAGTTGGCAGCTTCACAAAATCATTTATTGGGTTTCGAGATTCATTCGCAAAATTTAGTGATAACACATGTCTGACAACAAAAATTTTGACTAGGTAAGTATGAACGGAATTAAACAATTTTCACCAGATTATTAGGTACAAATGAAAAGGAAACCTTCCAACTCCATTAAATAAATAAGAATGAGAACCTAAATATTGAATCACATGAAAAGTTTTAATAATTATATTTTAAAAATCAAACCAACCAATACAATTCGAATTAGGCGCAGCACAAACAGTATGTAAAGACATACGACACCGATGATGGCACTTTAATTGACAATCTTGACATTGAACGCCTTGCCACTTCTGACCTAGTATCAAACTGCCGCAAACGTGACATTTTGTTGGTTGCAAAAACGTGACGAAAGTAAATTTGTGTGTCGAAGTAGATGTTTGAGACGCTCCAGAAGCATCTAAAGTAGTCCAAGAGTTTTGTCCTGGTGTTGATGTATATGGGCTATTAATATCAAGTGAAGGGAGCGATCGTCTGTTATCCATTGCGTTCTTTTCCGAAGTTGCTTTCTAAAAAAATAAGATAACTATCAGTTAAATATTTCTTTTAAGAAATTTCAACAACAATATACAAATAACCTGAACAACGAATGCTTTCAGAGTGAATTCTATTTAAAACAACCTTGTAGCTAGTTGTAGGCTACGTACAAAAGACGTTTTGAAAGAATTTCAAAACTTGCATTACCTAACACATAACTTAAATTGGATTACTGTTAAACTATCCAAAGTTCATAAATCGGAACCGGGTAAATTATTTTACAACTCAACAAGTTGTAGAGACGAAAAATGATTTATTCATCATCGATCGAAATAAATTTACAGTTCTATAAGTCTAAACATGTATTACACAATATGATACACAAATGTAAAGATTTTCTCCAACGAGTAATCAATTCCCGGAACCTACTTATGAAAGTGCCCGGTCCTTCTTCTAATTCATTTAGAAGAGTATCGAACAAGTGCTTAGATCAACTGTATTTCATTCAATGAACGTCGTAAATAATGTGGGAATATTACTTTTCTTAATTGAATACATGGCATAAAATTGTAAACTAGAATAGTAAATAAAAATCGACCTTAAAATAGAATTAGAAATCAATATGTAACAGTAGTAAGACGATCAGAAGTGGACATATGTTAGAACAAAAAAGTTATGAAGTAAGATATGTATGAAGTCAAAATAACAAACAACTAAAGACATTGTGAATGAACTTAAGTTGTGGTGTGAAAGTAGAGAAAGAGGAAATGGAAAATCAAGAATTATTTACGATACAAGTCACAATGGCCCATTTTACAACAAAATTTTTAAAAAATTTATTTATATTAATTAGCATATTTCTTAACCAACAAAATAATATTTGATTGTGGTAGATACATGATTATTGTATATCAACCGGAAAATAAAGTAACTATGACAGGATTGAATAAATGACAAATAAAATGGAGGGAAGAAATCTTATTTTCAGACAATTGAAGAACTAATGATTATTAGCAGTCAAAAATGACGAATTATTTGCCATTACCGTTGAAGATACCTTGTATGTGTGTGTGAGAGATAAAATGAGGGTGAAGTATGATTTTCATATATAAATCAATGTAACTAGGTTTTATTGTTTTTTTTATCTACATTCGATTAAAGGAGAAAGTAGTGATGGTTAAAAGTAGCATGTTTACAATGTCTAGTGTAAGTGACCAATAGATGTAGTGTATGATGAAACGTGGTCAGATGGCAAAAATAAGAAATATTTTTTAACGCAAAATGGTTATCCATATTTTACTACAAACCAAAGAAAATATGTGGAAATTGTAATGTTTACTTCATGTCTACGAACGTTTAGAGAACTATCTTAAACGTTAATTCTTAGCACAAATACTTAAAATAGAATGATTAGTTATATCCTTTGTAATCGCTAATCAGATTAGTTTTGTCTCACATACATGTACATTAATATTTTGTAATAAGGATGTGGTCATATAGTCATTTGTTTAGCTACTCCGATTACGGGACAGTTGGTGACAGTGGTAATAAACAGCAAAAGAAAGCATAAGACCTGGTACAAAATACTTAGTTGACTTAGATTTGTGGACAGTATTGACTTGACAATAGCAGATCACTTCGTAACATCAACTGATTAGCAAACCAAACATTATTGCAAAAAATAAGAAAATATATACATATAATAATAATAATAATAATAATAATAATAATAATAATATTGATTAAAAGCATGAAAACTCGACAAATGGAGAAGTATGCTATGAAAAGATTCATATGGCTGAAAATATTAGTAACTAACCGGCATAAAATTGACTGCATCGTTGACGGTCTAACAGTAAGAAAAAAAGAGAAAACGAAAGAAATATTTAGCACGGATATTGATACCGTCAAAACAACAAGAATGTTTACAAATGAAATACCGTATACATAGTAATTCCGTAAGTAGGTAGTATGGATAAAACAAAATGCACATTCATCGGAATACATAATAAAACTGAAAAATAAGAATCTAAGAATAAGATGGGTTAAAACTAGTAAAATGATGTTCAGATGAGATAAGAGAGTAAAATTTGTCTGTCCTTGACCTAATTCCAAGAATAATGAACAGTGTTAACAGAATTGTTTAGGCATGTGAATATGTGTAATCTATTAACTATCAACGAAAAATTCAAACAAAACATTGTGAATTCAAATTATTAAGCCAAATGAAGATAACAGTATTAATTGCTTGGCAAAACTGCGTTTTCATCAAACCCATTAAGTAAGAGCTACTAAAGAGAAAATATTCAAATGATTCTTGTTATTTTTGTTATATCCAAATGAGTGGCAAAGTTGTATTTCTTGTTATTTTTGTTAGAGTTTGCGCTAGGAGCTGAAATGTACAGTTGTATGTACTCTCATATGAAAATTCATTTTTGTTGCAGTTTTGAAAGCAAAATAACATCACAATGATAAGGAAGTCTTCAATATCATTAACGTTTTTGGCTTGAGGCATACTAAACATAATTATTGTGTGGACAAACGGTTAAGTACACATGAAATTGATCCAATAACATGAAGTCAGATACATTGTGATACGCTGTAAGTAATAACAGGTTTGGTCAGCATTGACTACTAACAACTAATTAAATGTAAATTCAGTTACTCCAAACTATAATGCCACATCACACAGTCTAGCGTCAAGGCTCTTTTACTCTATAGAATCACAGTAATATCAATTTTGAAATACAATATTCAAAGGATAGAAAAGAATAATAATTCAACATTAATCCCTAAACTAGGTGATAAATTCCTGATTTTAAAATTTCAATTCACTATATAAACATTTATGAAATTAAGCAGTAACAACTATATGTGCACATGTGCAGGAAGGAACAAATACAATGAACATTCGATTCCAGTTACAATCTACATCAGTTATGCACAGTTAGCATCAAAAACTGATCTTAGTTCAGCAATAATTGAGAGCCAGGAAACACTGGACAATTGTTCCGTCCTGGTATGGCAATCCTCGACAGAACTCATCCACAACCCCGTCAACAGAAATCGACCCCAAGATCTACAGTTCTCACAGCGAGCGCTTAAAGTTTAGAGTTATAAGTCACCATACAATGATTTACATGTTTAACTTCAATCAATTGTTAATATCGTCTAATCATCTGCTAATGCACTTTGTGTGTAACTGCTCACACTGACAGGTTTAAATTCCGCTGATGACGATATCACACGACGAATTCAGAATTAATCCTCGGAAGATTATAGTCAATACATAAGGGTCTTGTGAATCAATTAACGATGTTAACTATAATGCTAAAAGAGATAAGAAGGAGGTTCTCAGTTCCCGGTTATCCATTCTATCTAGGAGCTTTTGGTGTGTCAGCTCTTTACCTCAAAACAGCTTGCCATCAGAGATGAAAATCCGCCGAGTAAGGTGAAATGTGACATTTCAAGGTCAAACTATCCCATCCCTTTCTTCCGTTGTAAGGAGCCAAGATTGTTGAGGATACTCGTTACTGAAGGGAAACACACACCTTACTCTCATCACACCTCAGTAAAGTTAGCAGTACGACTTCACCCTTGCACCATGTGTTCACTGCATTTAGTCGCACCGCTTCTCGACTGACCTGTCTAGTATGGTATGATCTCAAAGAACAATACATCCGACCAAAATAGATCGTCCGGATAATTAAGGTTGGCAAGCCCGACCACTAAATCAATGTAGCTGCTGAGGTGGGGATATATATATATATATATCATTAATGTGCGATCTCTCATAGTACAACGTAAAATAGTGTCACTCAGTTAAAGGAGTGATTTCTCAGTGTCACAGTCACATTTAAACACAGAATGCGATAACTGGTTCCAATATTAAGAAAGAAAATCAGGAATAAGTGAAGGATATTCACCTAAGACGATTATTTTATACCTCAATGAATTCAAGAAATAACCATGTATAATATGAAGCTTAATATAAAACGTAAGACAGAAAGGGTGTTAGGTAAAATAGCTTATTTAAACTTTACATTCAAAGAAACATTCCCAAATCCTGGAAACTACAGCGAAGTCACCGAAAAAAATCACAATAAATATAAGATTAACATCAATAACATTTTACACACGAAGTATATTCTATCTTGTTGTTACAATCATTTCTTCACTGAATGACTGACTTGGTAAGATTTAACATATATCCTAGGTATATAGCTTCATCAATTATGACACTGATCTATGTACAGTTGGTGCTTTAAAGGAAATATGGAAGTTTCAATATTGCATGGAGCTTGATCAGATTGAAAATCTCATTTTAATAGGTAGGTAGGTGTTCAAACAGAATTCAGCTTCTCATGAAGTAATCAAAACAATGGTTCAGAAATCTAAACACTACTTTAGCTGAATAAATGTAAATTGATAAAGCTTTTAACAATATGACACAAATAATAGATACATCTAAACAAATAACACCGGCTTTCATCTGTGTACCCTTAAGTCTTAGCGGCACAAAATAGCACACTGATGCCTTTTACTAAATTACACAGAATAAATCTTAAATTTGTTTGAAAACTTTTATTCTTGAAACTGTGCATATATATACACAAAACAGACGAAATGCATGTATTATACCGGTTTATTTTATTGGTAAATGTAGAACAGAACGGAAGTAATTATAGGCAGAGATAGATAGAGATAAGTAGTGGAATCCAGGATACACGTTTCGACCTATTTTGGACTCACTAGCTGGATATACCTCCAACCCCGCCTTAAGTCACAAACAGTATAAGCAGAGATGAATTGAAGTCATCACCTGGAGTGAAAATCAACTTCGAGATGCAGGTACATCTGGCTGATAAATCCCAAATTGCACGAAACGTTCGTTCTGGATTGCACTGTAGGCTATCATCTATCTCTGATTATAAGGTTTGTGACTTAAGGTAATATCGAAGCAGTGCATGCAGGATCCACATATACCAATAGGAGATTGATCAATCGCAGTCTTAAACGTCAAGGGGAAGATTCAAACAACCAACAAAAAAGAATGAAAACAAATTTTCAAATCCTAATATACTTCGTAATATCACAATGACTAACAAATGTGAAGCAATTTATATGAGTAGTTTTACCTAATTGATAAGATAAACAACGACATGAAATTATATCTTTTCAAACTCAAGTATTAATTAAAACAATCACGAGGATTTTTGGACTGAATAATCTGTAATCATTGGAAATCTTTGCAACATTGTCATTTCACTTTGTATGAAGTATTCTTATGTCAGTCAGTCAGTAACAAATTAGAACTTCGTACGTACGTACATCAGTTCGAGTTGCCATACCACATTAGCACAGAGATGCACTTGTCGATTTAAATCCCGTAGTGGTAGAGGTAATAAGAGTATAAGCAGTAATCGGGAAGATTAGGGTTTGGAGATGTTATTTAAAGAGTATAATCCAGTAAAAGAAATTCGGAAAGAGGAAAAAAGGGACATAAAGAATTCAGAAGATTAGAATTCGGGAGAACACAAAGAGGGGATGCACCTACGCCATTGCAAAAGATTTGGAGCCATGTCATTCAGGGTCTCTAACCATCGGTCGCTATCATCTCGCGGTCCCCAACCAGGTAGTCTACACCTACCAACATGACTCAGCCCACATGTCAGTGACTTCATGGACTTGTGCCATGTTTTGGTCTGGCCGCCCCTATCTTTCTTCCAACCTACTCCTATACCATTGAACATCGCACGTCGAGGTAGTCGGTCGTTATAAATAAAAGACTACTTGTGAAACGAAAACACTATAAATCGAGCATATTATTATCATAGTATATTGCTAAACTTACGTCATTATTCATACGACATAAACGTGCCTGATTGGAGGCTGAAATTGTGTAGATAGAATTTGGGTAAAAATTAAAATGATTATTTACATTGGTAAACTGTTAGTTAAATAACATATAAATGATCAAACAAACATTATGTTACGAAAAAACAGAAATTGAGTAGGATTTGAAAAAAATTATCAGTTACTTAGTTATCATTACTTTAGGAATTCTCCAATGAATGTTGTTACAAATAAAAATGTGCTTCAATTAGGTGTATCGACTTTCTTATATTCTAGGTAATGATATGCTGAAATACTGACTTTTTATTATACGATAAGAAATCATCGACATTCAATAATTATCTCAAAGTCGAAGCGCCAGGTTACGAGCGGTTTCATCTAGAGTCAGCGAAACAATACAGATTTTAGAATTTTGTAACCTGGAATAGCATTCTACCCACGTGAAAATATTATCGAAAGTTGGGATCTCCAAAAAAATAAATCATCGTCTAAATGACTGTAAGTGGATAAATTAATAAAAAACCTAAACATCGGATAAAATCAGTATTAGTTTAATCAGTAAAAGCATCGCGAAACTAGATATTTGTCCTAAAAATTCAGCTTGAGTGTAGAATATACGAAATGCATAATTTTGTCAGTATAACAAATAGAAAACTACTAATTGAGTGGTTTTCAACAATCTGACTAATTACACTTGATGTAATCTTCATACATCAAATAGAAATAGTAATAACACTTGAACTAATTATATCGACCAAGTTTTGTTTTGTAATTTAATTTCGTTCCTACACCCTTAGTCAAAATAAAGACAGTCAATAAACCAGAATAATGTTTAACTTCAACAAAAATAGTCTGATTTCTTTTTCAGTCATCAAAGAAAACAAACAAATCAATTTTTTATGACAGAATTTTAATGTTAAACCAAAATAAAAATGAATTTTTCAATCAGTGTTAAAAACTTTTCTACTTTTAGGTAAACGATTTTGAGACAATTTATGGTGTTTTTTAACAAGTTCCAAATTAATAACACTAAGATTGAAAATGAAAGAAATATAGAAAATAACCAAGAGGGATAAATACATACGCATAAACATTGAATATAAAAATGAATGTGGATAGAATTAAAATAATTAAGCGTAATTCGATGTAAAACTCACCTTCAAGTAATTGAGCATTGAGATGTTCAATAATACGATCTTGTTCCTTAATTTTCAAATCTTTTTGATTAGTTTGACTAAACAAAATCCATTGAAAGAAAAACACGAAGTTTACAACGAATAATACTTACAAAGTTTGTTTTATATTTTAAAATAAGTAACTGTAGACGATACTCTAAATTATTATATGGATAACAAGGAGAAATAAACTAGTCCTTTGTAAAAAAATTTGTACTGGATTGTTAGCATACTAAGTTTTAGCCGATATAGATCTTAAAATTCTACTGATGTGTGACGACAATTAAACCCTGAAATAACAATAGCCATGTCGCTAACAAAATTGTATATGCATAACATGTCAGTTGTTGATATCCTTGGAAAAAGTGTTTTTAAAGTGAGGTATTTATTTAGATGTAAAATAAAAGAAACTGAGTAAGGAAGAAAAGAAATATATTTTTAGTAAGCAACTTATTAAATATTTATTATTGGTTGAAATCGTGGATGCGCACTGCTGAGGAGTCCCATACTAGGACGAAACGGCAGTCCAGTGCTTCCAGGTTTTCCATAGTGGTCTAGCTTCAATTGACTCATGATTTCAACCAGTGAAATTTCTAAAACTTTCCACAAAACCCATTCTGAAAATATTTATTAGTTTAACGTTAGATTTGCATTTCGGAAAGTTTTTGTGATTTTACGTTATCTGAGCTGGAAAATATTTTATATGTTTTAGATGATAACATTGATTAGAATAATAAGAAAATAAGCTACGATAATGAATCATTCTCCATTAAGAACATGAAATTACTAAAGAGGAAAGATGTTCAGAACGTGTAATATTATCTATTTTATTTGGCTTCTCACGCATAGAAACACCCTCTATTCGTTAAATATCTTCCGAATTGATCATTATACAAGTAATTTACGTCTACTAACAGAAGCAATTTGTTCAGGCTCAAAACACTACTTGACATAAAAATCATTTTAAAACATAAATAAACACGAAATTTTGAATTATTTCTTGATACAGACAATAAAATTTATCGTAGACGAACAAGAAGTTTAACATAAATAATTTTTTAAGCAATACGAAAAGCTGATAACGAATTCACAAATGTGTAAAAAGCAAAATGAACGGACACAAACAGCAAATCACATAACTAAAGTCACTAACAAGAATAAGAAAGAAACATCAATTGGAAATATAACATAACTCTATTACGGTAGTTTTCTAAACGATGGAAAAACTAAGACAGAGGACATGAATCGGTCAACAGAAATGATGATTACTCGATTGTAAAAAAGAAACTTAGCAAAGTGTAGCAATTATGCGCTTGCATAGTTAAAAAGGACATGACCTGAAACATCTATTTGATATATAGACGCGCAAACGATCATAATGATATTCCAACAATCTAAACTACACACACACATTAACCAACTATATACAACACACAATTTTACTAATGGGATGATAGAATAGTTACAAAAATCTATTCACTTTATTTAAATTAAGCGAGACATTAAGTAGTAGTACAACTCGAAAGTAGCTCTAGTATGAAATAAGTAAAACATAATATAAATAAGAACTATAATAATCAATGCACACATGATTCATTTTATCACTAAGCTATATTTACATAAGCTTAAATAAAAACAAATGCATACACACAATTGCATATATATATATATATATATATATATATATATATATATATATATATATATATACATAATCATACAAAACATGTGTTAAACAGCACAAGCCAACTACTACCTATTACCTTATCAAAATGAATATTTGTCACATGTAAACAGAAACATGTTCAAACAGTAAAACAAACAATAGTAGTAAAAATAGTCGAATGTAGATTTGTAAAAAAAAGGAAAGCCTAAAACTACAAATACATATACACTGAGATGAGGTGCTTATTCTTCGGTAGTTGAAGTATTGAAATGTTACGTGATAAGAAAGAAATATAAATTGTATATTGACATTAATAAATGAGAGTTTGTAAAATCGATGAGTAATTTATGACACAATTATTCATATTTGCTGATTGACAGGATGCCAAAAATTAAGAAAAGGAACATTGATACAGTAATTTGTCATGTTAAAAATACCACACCTACTTAATACTGCGAAATAGACCATGAACAAACAAGAGGAACAAAATAATACGCTAGTAGAGTATGAATAAAGTAAATAGTGATAAATAAGAGGATTTTACGAAAGCGAATCACCGTATTCATTGTATACACCTTGTCGCTCCTATGATGATAATGTAAATATTAGAATGTCTCATGTCAGAGATAAATTGGGAACTGATTTCGAAAATAAACACGTTCGCGTTTACTCATCATTTTCGTTTAACCTAAGTAAATCAATTTGTAATGAAGTTATCAATTCAATTGAACATTAAATCTAAAGTATTAATATCTGGATATTCACTGAAATGACGTAAAACGAAGTTGATACTAACGGTTAGACTCTAAGACGAGTCATGAGACTCCATTTAACTAGAATAAAACGGAATGTATCCGGCATACAAAAAGATCATGTTATATTTTTTTTAAAAACTAGAGAAAACAGTGCATCACTTACTCATACATCTCTTTCAAACGAGCCTCAACTTCTTGTAGACGGAGTTCTGCTTGTTCCCTCGCTTTTACTTCATTATTTAAAGCTACCTCATGACTCCATCTTTCCATTTTATTTAACTTAGTAGATTTACGTTGACGCCAGTCCAGTGTGTTCTCAACAATAACACTTTGTGCAGGACTGTCATAAGCTAAAGAATTCACATCGTTTGGACGCCATGATGATTGATAACCATTCGGGCACACACCATTCTGATTATAATCTTGTACCAAACCTGAAGCACGAAGTGTATCCAATTCAGACACTAAACGCATTGTGAAATTCTATGCAGGCAAAACATGAAGTGAATACATCCAATGAACAATACTCTTTATAACAACATATGAATAATAATTAGAAATATTTAGTACTAATAAACTGTCACCTAATATAAAAGTAGTAGCCTAAGATGAAAGTTGCAGGTGTAGCATGCAATGATATATGTCATTAAAAATGATTTAATGATTAGTTATCATCTAGAAGCATCAGCTTGGTTTGAACCATAACTTCAACTGATAGTACCACTAGTATTGTTAGCTAATGACAATCATTTTACCTACAAAAGGATTCGTTAAGAAATACGATAAGTAATATAATGTTACATATTCATCAACTCATATTCATATGCTTCACTTACACAAGGTAAGGAGGAGCAAATAATACAAAAACAAAAGCTAACAACAAGAAACGTCGTTGTAGTCTGACGAAGCCATTATATGCGCCTCAGTGATTACAGTATAAAAGGTAGGGGTTTAGTGTGAAGACCACAAAACAGGAAAACAAGCATTTTTCTAATACACTTTTAACAAGGTACTGAACATAATTTAACAAATACTGAGTTTACGTTAGGAAGTCATAGTAAAAATGTGACAACTCGAAACATTACAACAGTAAATATAAACACAACACTTACATGCAGTTTTTCTTTAGCTTCACGTTCATCATCAACCCACTGATTTAACTCGAATAAATGGCGTTCCCAATTAGCTATATTATTTTCAAGCTCAGCATTATTCTCTTTAAGTGTGGTCAACTCATCTTCTAACGCAATAGTCTTGTGAAAGTAGAAAGAAAGAATATTGAAAAACAGTAATATTTCATGTTAAACCTTTAAGACAAGAATATACGACATGTAATAGAGAACCCCTCTTGCATTTTTAAAATGGTTTCTACTTTCTAATGCATTAAAGAAATCCTATATTGACTAAGTACAGACTTTTTTCTTTCTCTAGAATAAAGATTTTCACCTATACAAAATTACGTTCACTAAAAGTTGTTTATGTTAGGTCCGAGAAACAATGAATGGTAACTTTGGGATCCTTTTATGGACCAATACTAAACGTATATTTTTATCGTATAATTGTGTACGCCCTGTACTACCAGGCAACTTAACCAACGAATGAGTGAACATCTACCAACTTGGTACATAAAGGGCCAGATAAAATCTATTCGCAGTTCTATCTTGGCACATCTCATTGATAGCGGTCATATTGTAGATAAATCGAAGTCATTGCGTGTTATCTATCGTATACCTCCATCATTCCCCAACGGAGTTCGTTCCCGCCTCCTACATATAGCTGAAGACATTGGAATTCGTACATATAACCCCAATTCATGTGTACAGAAAAAATACGTAACCCCCTATCCCTTCCATGGCCAGTTATAACTTAACTAACGAATTTTTTTAAATTTTATTATTACCATTATTTATTTTATTCTATTTTGTTATCACTAACCTTATTTCCACATCCTTTATTTGTTTGTAATTTTCCGCCTCTTTGTATTCTTCATTATCTAATTATTTACACACATCTTATTACGTAATGATTTTAATGCTTTGTGATTACTATTCCTAGTCTATTTACCCATGTTTGTTTGACCTATTTCCAACGTTTAACTATTTATAAGACTTTTGTTATTGCATTGTATTATTCTTACTATTATCAGTTCACCTGTCCTCCTACTATCAACTTGTACTTTTACCTATTATGTGTAGAGACTTATTCTATTTCATTGTGATTATTGACTCAAATATCAGTTACCTTTTGATTAACGGCTATCTTAATCTTCTCTTCTAACAACTCACGTTCTTTCATCCATTCTTTTTGTTCTGACTCCCAGCCTAATTTCAAGCTTTGTGCTTCGTGTCTCACTATTATTAGGTTTTCCATGACCCGTTTTAGCTTGGTTTCACTTTCATACAAACGTTCCCGTAGATCAGAATCTGATGAATGGTTGTTAATATGTGAATGTTGTGTTCCATTGACTAGATTGGTTGATGATGACGAAGAAGACGATGATATGGAGATATTGTGACATTTTATCCCGTTTTCTAGGCTTCTAGATTCATTTTTATGCAGTAAATCACGTACATCATTCAATACAGTATGATTATCATATTCACGATGTGAAGCCAATTCTCCACGTAATCGAGCTAACTCAGATAACAACTGATTAGTACATAAATCAAAATATACAAAAGTAGATGTAATATGAAGATTAAACTTAAAAACTATAACCAAGTCAGTAAATGAATCAAAATTATAAACAAGTAGTTAGAGATGATGAATGATGTGGTAGTAAATCACTTCAAAACTAATTAGCTTCCTGTTAAGATAAATTATTTACGAGATTTTAGTACTTTTCATGAGTTTGATTGATTTACTTTTTATTGGTGTTATCGATAGCAAATAAATCATTTTTAGTCAACGCAACATCGTGCGAAGTTTAAATTTATATAAACATTAAGAACCGAAGAATGAATATATTACTCTAAGTATATCAAGTTCCTAATTCTTAAAAACTTTGTAATACTTTGCTTATTTATGAGTATATACATTTCTTTTACGAAAAATATTTGAACTAGTACACTGATACAGTAATACAGCAGTTTACTTACATTATTTGCTCTTTTTGGAGATATTGGTTAAGTTGACTTGTACGGGAATAACAATAAACTAATTAGGTTTTTTAATATAACAAATGCAGTTAGATGTAACTATCGTACTAGGAGCTTAGGTAAGAAAAAAGGAGCTATTCACGAGAGCATGAGAAAATAGTTAGCATACTTCAGCAAGTAACTGCTCAGTGAGAAAAATGCACGAAAATTCTAATTACAATTGAATTATTCTTTTCTTAAAATAAAATTTTGAAGACATCAAATCATATGTTAACTATGTTTATGTGTCGAAAGTAAGAGTAAATTTGTAATTTACTGGACGCGTGCAAAGTGATAACATACTAGTAGTATTCCCACATTCCAAAATTATGACAGCTGTCGAAATTAAACTTGGCAGATAGTTCGAGTTAAGAAGTAACGATTATAATTTATTTACCTACATAAATGCTTCATTGATAAGGAAGGTTGGAAAGCGCAATGCTGAGAAGTGGTTACCTGATTAAGGATTGTAGGTATGATTGTTCAAGGTGTTAGAAATAAGTTAATGCGGAAAAATATTACTAACTTTAGTCAGTCCCAACATAAATGTTATAACCGCAAGAAATAAATACCCCTACTTAATGAATTACAATGAATAAAGCTTATATGAAGGTGAGTCGATAGAACCATAATCAGATAAACATGCACAACTGGTTTGATTTTATAGTTACATATTACAGCAAACATGATAAAACCATTTGAAAATTTATTTTACAAAGTAACTCAAACAAATATACATGTAAAATACTTACCTCACTATGCTCTGACTCCAACAACCTGATAGCTAACTGAGCATCTGCGGCACGCTTACATAGTGTTTCATTTTCTTCTTCGAATGCCCGTACTTCAGACTGTAACTTTTCTCTTAGCTCATGTTGTTCTGAGAGTCTAAAATCGGCGGCAAATATGTTGAGAAGTTCATTTACATAAGAAAAAAATTTAGTGAATGTATGTCATTAGGTTTTGTTAGCAACTTAAGTACATAGCCAATAATGCTTTCGAACCAGTGTTTTAATGATAAAATCACGCCCATTGGGAAAAAGAAAGCCTATAAATAGGTGAAGACTCAATTTGAAATAAACACATAGAACAGCAACATCCAATCTAACACCTTTCGAATCACCACTCTGATAAAGTTATGCTGAAAAAGTATGAACAGGTTACATGCGATCACAAGATTACATACTGAGTGAAACGCAAGTTTTGGGAACTATTAGTGATAGGAGAATTATTCACCAAGCCAAAGTGACTCTGAGCATATATTCCTGTCTGCACCAGTCCATTAACTTGTATACATACGCCAACTGTGTACATCACAATACAGCTTTTGTCCCCGAGACACTTCGTCTCCTTATTCTGAATAACTAGCTGAGCAAGCTTTAAGAAGCGTAGACAACTGAATTTGATCTAAGAACATAATAGATAGCTCCGTTTTATTAAAATGAAGAGTTGTCTGGCAGCTGCCCCCGTCCAATCAAAATTAAATAGAGCGTATAGTGATGTTCACTTACTTAAAGGCATTGGCTATATGATAAATTTGCCCCACAAAATTTGATCACAACTAAGGACTGAAAGTTGGTCACTAAAACTAGTCGATTGGTGTAGGAGTCATTTGCGATAAACTAAATAACAAATCTCGATAACCACAAAAGGTCACTTTATACAGGAACATAATGCTTAGACAATTAACCACACAGAAAATTATGGACAAAATTATTGAAGGAAACGGAGGAGTTGATAAAATCACTTGGTAATTATAGGAACAAAATAACTTTGTCAACGTAAGATAATACATTAGGTAAAAGCTATAATTATGTTAAAACTAAGTATCACTTATGTCTGTTGTATGAATGGTTCTGAACTGAAGGCAAAAACGGCAACTACAAATGAAATAAAAAATGAGATATTTTCCCTCGTTACATAACGGCTAAAACGAAATATTGATCAAGTGAAACGAAAATGAGAAGTAATCAAAAGCTTGGCAAATTACATGAAATATACAAGCCAAAAGAACACTTCTAACGCACAAAAACGCCCATACTGAAACACCTGACAAGTATTGATAGCAGTTATGAATTAAGGAAATGTGTCTGTAATCGTTGATAGCTTCTAAGAATAAATGCTCTCAAGAGAAACTCAAGTGATCTTTGTTTTACTTTCAAAAACGAATGGTGATATATTGTCAGTCATTTAGTGCTAGAAAAGTTTTAGTGATGTAAAAGTCAATTAGATGTATGCTCCTATAAATTTATTTCGGACAAAACTTCTTAAAAATTGAAATACTAATAATGATTCTTTACTATACTATATATACGTGTACTATGGAAAACAATATTACTTTTCATTTATGCTCATAAGATGACGATGTCACACCAACAAAGTTTTTAAAGGCAAAGGAATATCAGCACTTAGCTAATTCATTTTATAAGATTATCTTATAAGTCTTCTAAAACATGTCAATTCAGAATAACTTAGTAATAATAAAACAAGATTACATATTCGGCTCTGAAAAACACAATGTGTAAAACTGCATCATCACCCCAGATGACAGGAACACAAGTAGGCTGAGCGTAATTCGAATTAATAACTTAATTAATCAGTCGGTCATTACCAACGGAGAGTCTAGCACACAAGTGCATTGACCGAAGATCCCATACCACGATGACGAGATAAAATTAACAAGATAAATAGTAAAAAGAGGATCGGAACAATTTAGTAGCAACGACAATAAGAAAGACCAAGCAACAACAACAATATAGTTCAAAATGACTGGGATTCAAGACCTAGATGATAAATAGTAAATGCACCTGTACCACTAAGAATGATTGAGGTATACCATTTTATTTAGTCTTAAGTCGTCTCGGGGATCCCAATTACGTAATCTGCCTCTACACCCATGGCTCAAACCAACAGACAATAGATTCGTGGGCTGACGCCATTTACTTCTGCTATTCTCAGCTTTCTTTGAGCCTACTCATACACCAACAAACATCGCCAGTAGAGATAGGCGGCAATTGGGCAGACGTAACTCATGTTGTAACCACGTCAATCGATGAATATTCATAACCTCATCAACTAATTTGCCACCTTCCCTAAGTATCCCACGCTAGATCTCATTGACTACTTGCTTGATTCGAAAATATGTAAGATCAATAACCTGCAACCTGCGTATGTCTGCTACTTTTAAATATTGTGTTCCACTGACATACAGTGGTATAGAATAAACTGTTGATCAGTATATTCAAACTTTCGTTGGTAGGTGGACATTACATGGTTTACATTACAAGTAATGGAAGTTGGCAAACGCCATCCCAGTATTCTGAATCCATACAGAGATTTAGTCAGACACCAACTCACTCGAGGATGAGACTTCTAAAATAAGTGGAGCGGTTGATGCACTCAACTACTTTACTCCTTATCATTAGTTCAGGAGTTGACGCAGACCAGTCATGAAGCAATATTTTTCTTTAGAGGGAGAGAAACGTATTCCGAACATGCTTGCATTGTTGCTCAACCTAATGGCTGCATGGCGAATTTTTTTAAACAGTAAGGCACCGTCTCACTTCAAAAGGATACATTTGTACACGCTACCATTATTGTCAGTGATACATAGTGGAGAAAACTCCCGACATAATGTCACAGTGTGAATACTGTCAGTCGTTCCTGATAACTGTTGAAAATCAGTAAGTATATTAATAAATTATTACAAATCATAAATCACAGCTAAGACGACTGTAAATAGTTGGACAAAAATACTACTTTTTGGTAGAAATATACATCGAAAGGCTTACTCATTTCTAAGCAGATCTACAGTAGCTGAAATCAGTTGATTCTGGGCTTCTGATTCTTTAAGTTTCTGAGACAAAATTTCGACTTGTCGTGTTATGGTATTAACGGTTGAAGTATCACCTGATGATACATCTTGCTTTTCCAAATTAATTGTTGTGGGGTCCGACTCCGACTTTACAGATACTTGATCACCCTTGGATTCCTGATAACACGACAACGTGCCTTTTAATTCCGTTATTTGCATCTGGAAAACAGACAACATAAATACATTCATTAATAACATGCATTATATAACATCGATAGTAAGAAAAGAACGACAGAAAAGTTGAAATAAGCATGTAAGAATGGAAAGTATGAGAATCGATGATACGGTGTTCATGATCCGTCGGGAAACCAAAGGGTGTAACCGGGTAACTAGTGTCGAATTGCATTCATGAAATAAAGTCCAAAACCATAGAGAACGGCATTATACATACTACGGAGATCAGAAATCTATTATCATAAATATAAAAGATTAACTAGATTAACAAGTTATAACGATTACTCATACAGTAAGTAACTACAGAAAGTGATTTTTCAAGTGATAAGAAGGTAAGTATTTTCCAATAGGGTTAGATAAGTGAATCGATATAATGTACAGGTAGATGGTAATATATATTTGAGACTGAGTATTTTTTTCAAAAACATTCAGAACATAACAAGCGGAAAAATACTAAGACCAGAAATTTTGTTTGTAATGCCTCTAAATAATAATAATAATAATAACAAAGAAGAAGGGGAAGAGGAAGAAGAAGAAAGAAGAAATGTCAGTCATCCCCTATTCAGAGAGTTTAGGAATTTTTTGTGACTTGTATACTTATTTTAGGCAAAAATAAAAAATCACAGGCATTTGACATTAGTTCGAAAGTTGCAAATATCAGTAGTTTGATAAAATAAGAATAGCCGGAACTAAAAATGTATGTGTTTTGAGGACATGAGAACTTATTGTACCACCTTTCTGAACAAATGTAATCTCAGCATGATAGTTTACACAAAATTGTTTAGCCCTATCAGTATTATTTATTTATTAACACATATGAGGGTGAAATCCAGAAGTATGTGTGCTATAAAATATCACATCCGAAAATGTTTGAAAGAATTGTAAGGTGAACAAGTGATTATTTCCATATAACTAGGTTGAATGAAATACCTTCAAAAATTCTTAGTAATTAATATATTTACAATACAAAATATTATCAAAGTAATATTTGAGATTAAACTAATTTAGAGACTGAATTTCAACATAGTATATGCGTTTATCTGCCCTGGTACGGCCGAGAGTGGGGAGAGTCCGCTCTCCCTCTCGAAATACTCTCACACGGCCACGCGTATACAGCCTCTGCCAGGGAAGTCCTACTCATTGCCTTCTCGTGGCGGGGGTGTTGTTTACGAAAATGAGAGGACGGAAAGCGAATGTCCGGCGCTTTAACCGGATTCCAAATCAATGGTGCACATGGGCTCCAGTATCCTGCGGGAGCGAATGGCGTATGAACCAATCGTTGGTCACCGGCTACCATGGGACTGCATCTCCTTACGATGCTCCACTGCCTTGTGGGTTAGACCTTTAGGTCAAAGGCTCGGGGGGTGGCCCCCTAAGAAAACCACCTGTTTCGGTTTGGGCACCCGGGCAGTATCACAGCCCACACACAAACGATGAACTCTATGTCTTTGGCAACTACTTTTATCGCTCCGAAAAACAAAAACAATCAATCGATTCAAATAATTATCATTACTATTATTGTCATTATTGATATTATTATTATTATTATTATTATTATTATTATTATTATTTCCAACATTATTCACCCTCTTTCATACTTATACAGCGGCTCGGCTTTGGTGGAAATTCGACTGTATCTAAACGTTCTCGAGTCACTGTCCGGTTGAAAGTTGTATGTTACCATCGAATATGAGTACTGAAGCAGTTTTTCTGAAACCACGTGCGCCATTCAAACTGGCTGCCTTCAGCGTTCGCACACTTATGCAGGTTGGTCAACAGATAGGGCTGGCTATGTCTTTGGAAAGTCTTAATATTGATGTTTGTTGTCTATCCGAGACCCGTATTCAAGACTCTAGCGAAGTACTACAAATTCGCTCTACATCTGTCACTTCAAAAAGCTTGTTTTACGTGCGCTTATCCGGGGACCCTGTGGCATCTTCGTCTGGTCTTGCTGGCGTTGGTGTCGCACTAAGCGCTAGAGCTGAGGCAGCACTAGTCGATTGGATCCCCATTAACAGTCGGTTATGTGCTGTTAGATTAGAAAGTTCCATCAAAGTGAGAAGAAATCGGCGTGAGAAACGATGTCTTTTCGTCATCTCCGCCTATGCCCCGACAGATTGCAGCCCGGATGCAATCAAGGATGAGTTTTACCACCAGTTATCAGTTCTTCTCCAGAAAGTGCGTTCGACAGATATTGTAGTACTAGCCGGAGACTTGAATGCTCAGGTCGGGCGTCTAGGCACAGAAGAGAGTCGTTTAGGTGGCCGATGGGGACTCGTTGGTCGCAGGTCAGATAACGGGGACCGTCTACCGCAACTGTGCACAGACCACAACCTGTTTCTGGCTAGCACTAACTTCCGGCACAGTCATCGCCGATGTGCCACCTGACGTCCTCCCTCTGCATCTCAATCCTGGACTCAGATTGATCACATCGCGATCAGCTACCGCTGGCGTGGTTGTGTACAAGACTGCCGCTCCTTTTGGAGTACCTATCTGGACTCTGACCATGCCTTGGTCTGCGCCAATCTTGCCTTACTTTTCAGTGGACAACGAAGTGAACGCCATCAACGGATTGATGTTAGCAAGCTGGTTGCAACTTCTGTTGCAAGTAAGTATCGAACCGAGCTAGCCTCTAGGCTAGCTACCACTCCACCGAAAAGTATAGATGAGCATTGGTTGCAATTGCATGACGCCATGAAAATGGCGGGAACAGTCAGTTGTGGGTTTGCGAAACGTCCCGCTTTTAAGCACTGGGTTTCTTCTGGTTCCTCACAACTCATTGAAGCCCGTCGGTCTACTCCGGGTCACCGTGAGTTTGACCATAAACGAAGGATTTTACGTAAGGAAATCGGGCAAAGCTTGCGTAAGGACAGAGAAGCCTGGTGGTCGATGCGTGCTAATGAGCTGGAAGCAGCAGCTGCATCTGGTAACTACCGGAAGCTCTTCCAACTCATCCGAGCCACTGGCAGCAAGAAGTCTGGTGTGAGTGAAACAATCTGCGAGGATGATGGGATGCCAATCACTAACATCCATCGACGTCTTGGACGATGGGCAGAATTTTTCGAAGGGCAGTTCAACTGGCCTGCTGCTCCGGCAACATCGGTCAGACTGTCCTGCCCTCCATGGCCGGTGACGAGTGATCCACCAAACGAGGAGGAAGTCCGCAAGGAACTCCAACTCTTGAAGCGTTACAAATCACCTGGCCCAGATGACTTACCTCCGGCTCTTTTTAAAGATGGTGGTGACTTTTTGACTAAGGAATTGACGACGTTGTTCACAAAGGTTTGGGAACTAGAGAGTGTGCCAACGTCATGGAATGAGTCGATAGTTGTCCCTATCTTTAAAAAGGGTTCACGTCGTTCCTGTAACAACTACCGGGGGATAAGTTTACTTCCGATTGCGTCCAAGCTATTGGCTTCCGTCATTCTTCGTAGGTTGTTCAAAACCCGAGAAAGATTGACTCGCGAGGAGCAGGCTGGGTTTCGTTCTGGTCGAGGATGTATTGATCATATCTTCACCCTCCGCCAAATGTTAGAACACCGCCATACTTTTCAAAGGCCAACAATCGTAGTGTTTCTTGACATCAGGGCTGCGTTCGATTCGTTGGATAGGACTGTTCTCTGGGATTGTCTATTGAAGAAGGGTGTGCATGAGAAGTTAGGCAGGGTTGCCCAATCTCACCATTCCTCTTCAACTTTGCCATCGATGACATTCTGGAAACAGCTCTGATGAATGTAAGTAATGGTGGTGTGGATCTGTTGCCTGGAGAAAGACTTCTCGACCTTGAGTATGCGGACGATAATGTCTTACTGTGCGATAATGCCCAAGGCATGCAATCCGCACTTAATCAGTTGGCAATCAGTGTCCGTAGGTATGGTATGTGTTTTGCACCTTCGAAGTGCAAAGTACTTCTACAAGACTGGCAGGATTCTAATCCTGTACTCACCCTGGACGGTGAGCAGATAGACGTAGTTGAGAAGTTCGTGTATCTGGGTAGCTGCATAAGTGCTGGTGGGGGTGTGAGTGATGAGATCAATGCACGAATAGTGAAAGCCAGAGCGGCTTATGCCAATCTGGGCCACCTTTGGCGCCTTCGTGATGTTAGTCTGGCTGTAAAAGGCCGGATCTACAACGCGTCGGTGAGAGCAGTTTTGCTCTATGCTTGTGAAACCTGGCCTCTCCGAGTTGAGGACGTTAGACGACTCTCTGTGTTCGATCATCGCTGTCTCCGAAGGATTGCTGACATTCAGTGGCAACACCATGTCAGTAATGCAGAGGTTCGGCATCGTGTGTTCGGGCACAGAGATGATAACTCAATTGGTGTCACCATCTTGAAACACCGACTTCGGTGGCTTGGACATGTTCTCCGAATGTCGTCCCAGAGAATTCCACGTCGTGCATTATTTGCCGACTCTGGGACTGGTTGGAAGAAGCGGAGAGGTGGTCAGTGCATGACATGGTGCCGTGGCATGAAAGAAAGCTGCAAAGGACTGGCTTGTGTCGGTCCTTCACGACTCCCTGGTTGGGGTCCGAGAGATGGTGCTACACAGTGGCTAGAGACGTTATCAGATATGGCTCAGAATAGAAGCCAGTGGCGATCCTGCTGTAACCTTCTTTTACTTTCTTCATAAAAGGTGGTTGTGTCTCCTTTACCTGAAAGATTTCTTCTGATTGTGCCTCTTCGTCATTACTCTCTTTTTCTTTTGCGTTCCTTAGTTTTTTTTTTCTTTCTACTTCCCATTGTTTTGTGTGGCGCATATATATTGGCGCTCTCTTGTACCAATATTTATGTGTTCAAATAAATAAATAAATAAATAAACACTGATTAATAGTTGTTGACATTAGCGTTGTGGTATGCAGACATTTGAAAATAAATCTAGTATAAGAGTTATTATATGCAACATGTTTTGCATGCAAAGAAAGGAGCGATATATACATAGTATCATGAAATGAAATTACGTGTACACTTACTTCATAATTTTCGCATTTTGTCCTCAAACCTTCAATTACTTCAATCAAAGCTGGTTCATGTGTCTCACTACTGAACTTCGATGCATTTGAGGGGTTTAATATTTCACTATGATCGGATGGTAGACTAATATCATTCAAAACATGTGCATCAGAACTTTTAGGTTTAGAAATTTCCTCAGGACATTCCGATTTATCTTTTGATGTCATTCTATAATGTGTAGGACCTAATTCATTCAGTGGTGAGTTGTTTGTGAATGTAAATCCAATACATGCAACCTGACATCCTCGAAAAATCGGTCCAAGTGGTGGCCCTTCCTAAAATTAATTGACAGACTGATTAAGTCCCAAAAAGTCGAATAGAGATCATTTTCTTAAAATAAACATGGCTAATAGAGAAATACGGTATAAAACAATAAGTTTAAAAAGAAGTGACTTCTGCAGTCAAATATATCATATATTAAATTTAAAGGTAAGGTATCTACAACTGACTGTGCTACCATCTAGCTACTTGTCACCTCTCACTTCAATTTGGAACGTTTGAAGGATACAAAGGAACTATTAAATCTACCAACTTACACAATGATAGATAATAATATTAAAGGATCTCTCTTTAGAAAGCAACTGATGAACTACGATTACTTGGAAGTTCTCTCATCCTGAATGTTTCGACCATCGACAAAATTAGGGACGCTGATAATCCACGATGTTTACTTAACGAACCGACTAACATGTGAAGCCATAAGTACAAGGATTTAAAGTGACCTGGCACAACTGAGGGTTGGAAAGGTCTATTTTGTCTCAAGATATCTTTATACGACCACAGGTTTACAGCCTCTTGTAAGGGATCTTTTCACAAAAGTGAGGAGTAAGTCTCTGTAAGTTAAACACAGTCAGTGAATATAGAGAGTTCACTTATGTAAGTCGGAAAACGGCAATATTTGTTTAGGCACAATGACGAAGTTAAGTTAATATGTGTTACTATCATAAAACTTAGAATATCAGTGGCTTGAACACGTTTTGATCTCATCAGCTTCCATATCGCGCGTAGATAGTTTATTAAATGACACCATGGATGACTTTCGATATTATTTCTCACCCTATGATGATCATCTTTTTGAATTTGTTCTGACTGTAGTGAAGTAACGTGTATCAACCCAGATTGCCGCACACCCGTACCAGATCCTACATTGATGATGATTGGTTAACCGACCGTGAAATGATAGCTGAATCGGGTCAGTGTCCACTAGTTTATACTACCATATAAAATAGAATGACTATCTATATTGAAATGAATATTGTATAAAAGCAATAAATAATTTGCTACCAGTGATCGCTACAGCTGCCTGAAATTTACATCAAAAAACAATCAATTACAGCTACAAAGCATCAAGATTGAGTGTAAACACGACATTCGGTGTTAATAAACGAAAAAACAGATGGTTATTTCATATTTTACATGAAGTAACCTTATTAGCTAATATAAATCTCAACACAACTTATTAGTCGATAATTACAGACAGCAAAGGATATTCGCCACTTAAAGGATTTAATTACAAAGCTTAAGATAAACTTATTGTATTGTTCTGCACTAGTCATCCATCTAATGTCAACGACATAAATTATATTGACTTACGTGATTTCGAGAAGATTGTTCAATATCAAAATTGGAAGTGTCGTCTGGACTGGTGACTTCGGGAATGTACGGAGGATTTTCTAAGGTGAATATTTAAAAAAAACCAATCGTTGGTTTCATTACATTCCAAGTATAATTCATGTAGTATTAACGTTCTAGCAACTACATTTGACCTCCAAAAAGTCTGCTAAACGTACTAATACCCCTACTGGTTGTTTGATTCTCCACGTCGATGTGATGGACTGAAATTCGTCAGTCTCTTTTGGTATATGTGAATTTTGTACGGACTGCCTCTAAATTAAGATTATTAAGTCACTAACATTTTAGTCAGAGTTGGAGAGTGGCTAACAGTGGGTCCAGGACACGAGTTTCATCTTGTTTGAGACTCATCAGCTGGATGTAACCAATCCATTATTGATGTCAACACCAAGTAAAACAGACGGAGCAGTCAAATAAAATATCGTGATAATATAGCACTAAAACCTACACACTATATTTACTAAGAAACATAAAAGCCTAACATTTCTCAAATATGAGATAGTTATCTAATTCAATATGTGTTGAATGAGTCCATAGTCGTTTTATAAAGTTGGTTAACTCATTGATCCGTGTTACGCTTTTGTTAGGTATTTGGTAACCATTAGGATTTGCAGTGACTGAGGTTTGAAGAATGACTGGTGATTTGTGAATACTAATATATTACTATACTGCAAAGATACTCCACATTCTGTTCAGCAAGATTTGGGATGAAGAACAAGTACCAACAGACTGGAAAGAAGGACTTCTGGTCAAAATACCGAAGAAAGGCGATCTCAGCAACTGTGATAACTACAGGGGCATCACTCCTCTCTGAATACCAGGAAGTCTTCAACAGGGTATTGTTAAACAGAATGAAGGACTCCGTAGATGCCCAACCTCGAGACCAACAGGCTCGATTCCGTAAGGAACAATCGTGTACAGACCAAAACGCAACACTACGGATCATTGTGAAACAATCAATTGGATGGAATTCATCACTCTACATCAACTTCATTAACTACGAAAAAGCATTTGATAGCGTGGACAGAACAACACTATGGAAGTTTCTTCGGCACTAAGGCGTGCCTGAGAAGATAGTCAACATCATACAGAATTCCTATGATGGATTAAACTGCAAAATCGTGCATGGAGGACAGCTGACAAACTTGTTCGACGTAAAAACCGGTGTCAGGCAAGGTTGCTTACTCTCACCCTTTTTCTTTCTCCTGGTGATCAATAGATTCATAAAGACGTCAACATTTGGGGGGAAGCATGGAATACAGTGGACAGCTAGGATGCAGTTGGACGATCTAGACTTCGCAGATGATCTGGCTCTTCTATCGCACACACAACAACAAATGCAGGAAAAGACGACCAGTGCAGCAGCAGTAGGTATCAACATACACAAAGGGAAAAGCAAGATTCTCCGATACAACAGCATGCAACAATCAAATCAAAATTGATGGAGAAGCTTTGGAATATGTAAAAACCTTTACATATGTGAGCAGCATCATTGACGAGCACGGTAGATCTGATGCAGATGTGAAGGCGTGGATCGGAAAGTAAGAACAGCACATTTACAACTGAAGAAGATCTAGAACTCAAAACAACTGTCAACCAACACCAAGGTCAGGATTTTCAATACAAACGTCAAGACAGTTCTACTGTATGGGGCAGAAACCTGGAGAACTACGAAAGCCATCATCCAGAAAATACAAGTGTTTATTAACAGTTGTCTACGCAAAAGACTTCGGGTCCGTTGGCCAGACATTATCAGCAACAACCTACTAAGAGAGAGAACAAACCAGATCCCAGTGGAGGAAGAAATTAGGAAGAAGCACTGGAAGTGGATAGGACACAGTGAGGAAAGCACCCAACTGCATCACAAAGCCCTCACATGGAATTCTCAAGGCCGAAGGAGGAGAGGAAGATCAAAGAACACATTAGGCCGAGAAATGGATAGACATGAGGAGAATGAACAATTGGATCGAACTAGGAAGGAAGGTCCAGGACAGAGTAGGTTATAGAATGCTGGTCGGCGGGCTATGCTCCATTGGGAGTAACAGGCGTAAGTAAGTGATGTGTTATTATGCGGCCTACAACACTAATTTTGATATTGGTGGCGGATGGGTCCCGATATCAAGATAATCTAGCAAACCATTTGTTCCTAAACCCGAAATTTGTGATCACAGATGACTATTCATTCAAAACAAGTACATCTTGCACGTGAATATAATTCGGTGAAAATGATGATCCATTTCAACCTAAATTAGACAGGAATGGATTATGAATGGTCTTGAGTGCTGTTGGAGGTGTGAGAACGTTTATCACTTTCCGCTTCCCCACACCGTCGAAGGGTTCTTCTAGAGGTACCTGAAAAGGAAATTCAGTTAGAGTTGATCTAAGTGACCTGAGAGCGTGACCGCAGTGCCCAAAAGACAACTGCCTGAAGTCGGTCACACACGACCTTTTTGTGAGTAGTTTTTGTGTTAGTTCCGTACTTGTTGAGACCTTATCACCGAAAACGGATATCTGAGAATAAGGTGAGGTGTGTAATTTTAAGGTCGACCATTTCTAACCCCACCCTTCCTTTGCGGGAAGGTAGCATCGTTGTTATACTGGTTGTCTAAGGGGAACACCTTACTACTTCTGTACAGCAAACATTATGACTTCGCACTTGGACCTTGTGTTTGCTGTTTTTTAATCTTACCGTTCTTCAACCGACCTGCCTGGAGTGGTAGGACCTTGAGGAACGATTGTTCCAGCCAGCATAACCCGGTTGGTTTATCACGATAGGCAATTCAAACCACCACATCAAGATAGCAGAAGTGTTGCAGAAATTAAATATGAACGAATTCTAATAATCTACGTATGTTTCCAAAAAATGTACACAACATACGTGCCACCATTACGTCTTATTTCATTGGTAAAATTCACCCACGATTCAAGAGATGCATGTCTTAGAGATAACCAGACAAATGTACTTAGCAAGAAATGTAAGCACAACTAATTAAGGAAGGTCAGAATACAAACTATATGGCTAAAAGTATCAATAAAACCATGAAATAGCACCAGATGAAGGTATCTACATGAATAATCTCAGGAAAGTAAATAATGTTAATACCAGTTCCGGTATTTTAGATTTCTAAGTCGTTTTATATTTTACCGTAACTATATAAAGTGTTACTGTCAAAAGTGCTTTTTGTAGACAGATATTGTGTATTGTCCAGAACAGCCGAATTGTCAACAATATATTTATTCAACTTGAAAAAATATTTTAGGTACATATAACTTACGTTCATGAATATGTTCCCAATCTATGCCATTAAAAAAAGCATGGCCCTTCAACTCATCTATTCCATTTCGACCAAATCTTCGTTTCCGGTCACAAATTAGATGTCGTATTAGGTCACATGCTGATTCGGAAATTTTTACACAATCAGTCGGAATGGTAAAATGTTTCTAAAAATAGATAACGACTTTATAATTTTAAAATACCCACATATATGAGGTACCTAGTAAGCAGAGTATTCATGCAAATGGTGATAAAAACTGCTTAGCTCTCTACTATTAGATCGATTCAGACCACTCTCGAAGTAACATTTTGCACTTAGGGAGAGAAAACTACACCCAAAACACACCTGCATTGTTTCTCGAAGTGTCCAAAAGACTACATTTAGTCAACAAACAAAACCTCATCATCGATTGCCACACTGTATTAGCAGTGTGATGCGATTAGATATAGAAAGTAAAAGCATAAGATTTCGAGGTGCAAGATCTAAGAGAGAAATAAAATTGAGTGCAGCTGTCATTGAGACCGATCCTGAGCTCTGTAACCAAACGTCTATAACCACTAGTCACAGCTGTTGTGCAGACTCCAGACAGGTAGTCTTTATATGCCAACACAGCTGACTTTATAGTCGGATGCCACGTTTTAGTTCGGCATACGTAATACATGTTCAAACCACGTTAGCAGACGACGATTCACTACATCAACCGATTTGCCATCCTTACCCAGTCAGTCAGCTACAACGTAGGACCAGGCACATATGTGCATCGGTCCAGGTTGCCATCAACGTGAATGTGATTTTGTTTCTTCTCATCAGGTCTTGATCACATAAGAACAACCCACTAGTCGGCGCAAAAAAATGATTAGTGTAGAAGTAGTCTCGTCTATCGTAATCAATTCAATGTCGCAAAATAAACAGTTTTCGCAGCTACCTATCAGATTTTTCGATCATAGATATCTTCAAAGTATTGCTCATATGTTACGACCATTGAGTGAGCAGTGCTATCGTTATACACAGAGTACCATCATTCCCTAATACCCTGCGTCTAACCTCACTATTACTTACCCGGTGATCCCAGCAGATGCCAGCAATATTTCTAAGGCATCTGTGGTCAAATACTAGTAGCTTACGGGTGTCTTCTACTCTTAAGCGAAACATGGCCCTTAAAAGTAGAAGACACCCGTAAGCTACTAGTATTTGACCACAGATGCCTTAGAAATATTGCTGGCATCTGCTGGGATCACCGGGTAAGTAATAGTGAGGTTAGACGCAGGGTATTAGGGAATGATGGTACTCTGTGTATAACGATAGCACTGCTCACTCAATGGTCGTAACATATGAGCAATACTTTGAAGATATCTATGATCGAAAAATCTGATAGGTAGCTGCGAAAACTGTTTATTTTGCGACATTGAATTGATTACGATAGACGAGACTACTTCTACACTAATCATTTTTTGCGCCGACTAGTGGGTTGTTCTTATGTGATCAAGACCTGATGAGAAGAAACAAAATCACATTCACGTTGATTTACAAATCAATCAAACGATTATAAATTACAAAATCTTATCAACTGAGTAATTATCGCTGAACACAAAATCACAATAAAGTAGTCAATACAAAGAAAAGTGTGTAGAACATCAAATAACTAATTGCAACTAAAACTACACTAAAAGTTAACGGATAGAATTTACACTGAGTAATCTAACTTAAAGAATGAGTTAAGAATTGATTTAATCGTAGTCATCTTAACCAATATGCAAAATTTAGATTGATCATCTTTCCAATATAATATGGGTATAGAGAATCACCAGAAATCCTGCACAATATACATGTCTTTTGTTTTTAAAGATTATGTTCCACTGACATACAGTGGTATAGAATAAACTGTTGATCAGTATATTCAAACTTTCGTTGGTAGGTGGACATTACATGGTTTACATTACAAGTAATGGAAGTTGGCAAACGCCATCCCAGTATTCTGAATCCATACAGAGATTTAGTCAGACACCAACTCACTCGAGGATGAGACTTCTAAAATAAGTGGAGCGGTTGATGCACTCAACTACTTTACTCCTTATCATTAGTTCAGGAGTTGACGCAGACCAGTCATGAAGCAATATTTTGCTTTAGAGGGAGAGAAACGTATTCCGAACATGTTTGCAATGTTGATGAAGGCGATCAGAAGACTGCACTTTGTCGGCGTCTTCACCAAACATAAATGTCTTTTGTATATTCCAGGTGAACAAGTGGTTCTCCTGATGAGATCAAATCTTAAAAAGTCAGATGACTGTTATCTCTGGAGAAATATTCAAGGTAAAGTTAAATAAGAATGAAAGTGAACACCCTTAATACTTAAATTTGGTCTTTAATCGATAAGTCGCATTTGAGGCATATATCAAAGATGTTGTTGACTAATACTAATTATCTACTACCCACTTTTTCATAAAGTAATTTTTTAAAGGTTAGTACTTGTGTCTATGATGCATTTGGTCATAATTTCAGTTTGAAATTTGCGGAATTTGATTTACCTCAAAGTTCATAATGTGACTATAAGTTTCGATCAGATTTTCACTGTAGAAAGGCGTTTCGCCGAAGAGCATTTCATACATCACAACTCCGAGAGACCAGTAATCACATTCAACACCATAAGTCCCATGGCCATCTTCAGAAGCCCGCAAAATTTCTGGTGATATATAGTCTGGTGTACCGACGGCTGTGTTGTTCTTCACTAGTCCATTTTCGCCAAGTTTTAAACAGGAACCAAAATCAGCAAGGACAATGTGACCTGAGCTATAACAACAAAAAGAAGAACCTTATTGGCAAGTGGTTTATGTGTAGTAGGTAGATGAACCGTTGATGTTAGTTTTAATATTATTAAATGGTAGTGTGACCACCCTCCCACAACTCATCTGATTTTCAAAAATATACAATGAAGCAAATCACAGTGTACTTCATCTAAAGAAATATAGCTAGCTAATCTCATAACTTCATTCTAAAAGTTAAGATACAACTTAATAAACGCGATTAATAAGTCGTAAATATATTAAGCTATTTTGCCACGAACCTAGTTATACCAGTACATCCTGAGTCTTTGGTTAGTCGATCAAGTTAAACAAAATTGTCAATAAACGTTTTAGTGATCTAGCTACCACAAATCGATTTAGCTCCTGATCCATTTGCATTACATGTGGACCCGAAGCAGTTCCTACACGTCGAGACATGCATAAATCTGGATATCTTACGACTGATATGTTTTTTAAACAAAGATGTAAGGAATTTTTAGATCTAGGTATATGAAACGTGATTCAAAACCTATAAAAAATGAGTGATTAGAATTCCAGACTATTTCGTCAGTGTTGATCTACATCAATGATAACAATGAAGACAAAGTATAATAAACTGACCAAATCAAGAGACATGAAGTACGAATGAAGTGCTTGGTATCATTGGCCATGTTTAGAACCGTAGATATGCTACAACACGTCAGAAATTTATCAGGGAAATTCTCAGAATCAAACTTAAATTTTTCTCCAGGTGTCCAAGATGTAAAAAACTCAGGATAGACTGTACTGCTATTTTATAAATTACCAGTGAACAGACTCAGTGCCATTCATCATAAAACCCACCTTTGTAGCAACACGTTATCTGGCTTTATATCTCTGTGAACATAACCCAGTTGATGCAAAGCGTCAATGGCCAAGACCATTTCAGAAACGTAGAACTGTACAATGCTTTCAGGTATCTTGTCGTCAAACTTGCTCAACATGGTCAGCATATCCCCACCATTGTAAAAATCCATAAGAAAATACTTAGTTTACCATTAGATAAAAAGCAAAGTTACCAAGAACTTTTCATCCTGAAATGTGTGGTGTAATTTAGCCAGCCACAGAGATTTACTGACCATTGCCTTCACCATCACATCACGCTCCTCTTGAAAGCATGCTCTCTACAAGTATCCTAAGAAGCTTTAAATGACTTACATCTGAACGTTTGAGCATATCGTACTTATGGAGAGATTTCAAAGCATATATCTTTCCATCATTTTTCCACTTAACAACTGATACGTCTCCAAAAGCCCCTGATCCAATCAGTCTTATGGTTTCAAATTCCGACTTTGATATCCAACAACTTTCAATCTTGTCGACATACTTTTTTACTAAAGACAGTAAAAAAACTGAAGCTTCCTACCAGCATTATAGAACTTCATGCAGTTCCTCTCATTTTTGTGTTGAGGGAGTTTGCATTCATAAGACAGGCAAACGATTGTGTCTAACAGGTATTCTACGCTAACAGAGTTGTCCTCTAGCAGGGGTGAACTTTTAGTATAAAGAGAGACAAGTTCATTAATCCTGTCGTGAAGCGTCCTCATTTATCTCTCCAGTATGTATAACAAGCCAGAAAATCCCATCATACCTCCCCAAAAGTGCAGCAGCCAATTAGAGCGCCAGAGTATGAGCAATAGGTCTATGGCGGTACCCTCAAAAATGGCATAACCTTTCAAATCAAATTCATGTTACAATATTTTAATCTAACTTTCTTCACTCTAAAAACATGTATGTTTGTAATTATGATTTTCAAAGTGGATTTGTAAAACTTTGCTTCCTCAAATTCACCTTGTCTTTCAAAATTAGCTGAAATTAATGTTCAGAAGTTCCTTGTTTTTTCGAAGTTTCCTCTTGAATAAACTGAGTTGTATCTAGTTTAGAGCAAACAGATACACACACATCTACCGCGGATAAATCAAAAACATTGTGATTTGAAATGTAATGAAGAAGAAAGGTCGACCATATAACTGTCAATCACGAGCACGCGTTAGCTCGATCCAGACCTAACGTCTGAAAAGCAAACATACCAGATATCATGCACTCAGCATTGCTAGTAGGTTGTACAATAGACCCAGAGTCCTCATTTGAAACGGCTTGGGACGCATTTTGAGATTTATACTCAAAAGTTAACGCACCTCACATCCTTCGGACTATACCAAGGGGGTCGAGAAACTCTCCACCATGGTTCAGTAGGGAGGTTCGCATCCTTCTGAGTAAGAGAAGAAAAATGTGGGATAGATTTAGGTTACTGGGGACTGATGAGACAAAATCTCAGCATCGAAAAGCTCGGAATACCTGTGCCTCGACACTCCGTACGTCTAGAAATTTGTACGAAGAAAACGTTATTAAGGAATCTATAGAATGTCCCAAATGCTTGTATTCCTGTAATAACCAGAGGACAAAAAGAAGAGGAAATATTCCTGCTCTATGGGGAGACAGTACTGCTGCGTCACTAGTGGAGGACGACTTTGGTAAGGCTCAAGTGTTTGCAAACTACCTTAGCAATGTATACACCATAGAAGCACCCTTCCCATCAGCGCATACAGATCCCCCCACACAGACACTAGATAGCGTGACCATTAAAGAACTCGATGTTTTTGGTCTACTAAATAAGCTTGACATAGGTAAATCCACGTGGCCCGATGAATTGCATCCAAGGCTACTGAAGGAATTATCTAACTTCGTTGCGAAACCTTCAAGTATATGCTTTAACCTATACGTAACGCAGAGTCGTTTACCAAAAGATTGGAAGAACGCCATAGTAAGTCCTGTCTTCAAAACAGGTACAAAACATAAACCTGAGAATTACTGACCCGTTAGTCTAACTAGTGTGGTTGTTAAAATCTTAGAAAAGATCATTCAGAAAGAGCTGCTTAAGTACGTCGATGAAAACCGGATCCTTTCGGAGAAACAGCACGGTTTCAGAACAAATTATTCTTGTCTCACTAACTTATTAGTAGCTCGTGAAAGCTGATGCGCTCTTAAGGACCAAAAGTTACCTGTAGACGTAGCCCACATTGATTTCAGCAAGGCTTTTGACAAGGTTCCACACAACCGGCTGTTATATAAGTTAACAAATGTCGGGGTTGGCGGCAGTCTATTGATGTGGATAAAAGACTTCCTAGTTGGACGCTAGCAACGAATACGGGTGAACTCAAAGTTATCTGGCTGGGGAACTGTGCTTAGTGGAGTGCCTCAGGGTACAGTTTTGGGACCAGTGCTATTCCTCTTGTATGTAAATGACCTTCCTCGTCTCCTATCATCATCAGTCTTGCTATATGCTGACGACGTAAAGATATGGAGAACGATACGATGTGAGGGTGATAGCTTAGAAATCCAAAATGACCTGAAGAAATTATCTGAATGGTCTCAAACCTGGCAGTTGCCGATAAATACTTCCAAGTGTGTTGTAATGCATACCGGTTATCAAGGTACAGATACATACACGATGAATAGCACTGAGCTACCTGTTGTTCAGACACATACTGACTTAGGAGTTATCGTTAGCGAAGACTTGAAGACTACTGCGCACTGCCGTGCAACAGCCGCCAGAGGTTTTAGAACGTTATGGTCAATACGTAGGGCTTTTAGTCATGTCAACGCTAAAACGTTTTTGACTTTGTATGCAGTGTTCGTACGTCCTAAACTTGAGTACTGCATACAAGCCCCTGCTTAAAAAAAGACAGTGGGCTTCTGGAGAAGGTTAAAATCAGTAACTAAGCTGATTCCCGGAATAGCGAAGTCTCCGTATGATGCTCTACTGGCCAAGCTGAACCTTTCCTGGTTACCATATCGTAGAACTAGAGGCGACTTGATTACAGTTTTCAAGTTGCTTAGTGATAAATTTACACCTGATATACCCTCGTTTTTTTTGTCTTCCAAAACAGAGAATTTAAGAGGACACTCCAAAAAAGGTCACAAACCCAGAAGAAATTACTTGTTAGCTGACTATCGACTTTCCCATCGAATCATCAACGAGTGGAATTCATTATTTCAGTACGTGGTTGAGGCTCTATCCGTCGACTCTTTCAAAAGAAAGTTGGATCAGCTGAGAGACCACCATTCCCAGGACTAACACAGGCCATCAAGCCTCCTGTCCTTTCCGATCTGAAACTGACTTTGTTGTTTGTAGTTGTTCTGTTTATGCTTGCTTTTGTGTACCTGCTGCGTCAGAAATCATTCTTGGTCTACTTTAACTTGAAGCATTTCAGTTAAGGCTTGGAATCTTGCTAAACTTTGTCTTTTGGTACCTTCTTTCTCATTGCATCTGACACTTGTGTTCATATTACGATAATATTGTGTTTTCAACCTTAATCTGATTACAATGGTTGGTAGTACTTATAAATGTGGACAGGCAAATTGTTTATTCCCCGTGGGAAGAAGGAATGCAGTGCTATGAGTGTAAAAGTGGTTCCACCAGATGTGTAGTCGTTTAGGTCCCAACGCATACAAAAGATACTCGAAGCCTAACTCGCATTGCGTTTTTACGTGTTTTGTTGTACAACTAAGACGTTAGTCATCTAGGGGACTATGAGCCTATTAGCTTTGGCCCGTCAAAAGAAAGATGGTGGTTGCACTAGTAACACGAGCACTGACAAAGAAGAATATGCCAGTGTAGTACGTACCGTTACGAGATGTGTTAAACACCCGACCGTGAAATCTCCGTTAAAACTAACGAGGATTGAAGTGCCACTTGATATTGACACTGGTAGTCATGCATCTCTAGTGAAAATTGATGACCCGGATAAAACCATCACCGTTCTAAATAGTCCAGGTGTGGATGTCCTGACTGATGAAAAATGGACTGCAGTACGGAGAAAAAGAAATGAGGAGAAAAATGCTGTTGGCAGTACGCACGTGGTTGGCATGTCATTGGTGAACTCCTATTCCGAGTCACAAAATGCATTACCAAATTCTAATAGTAAAACAGAACTCCACTCTAGCGTGACCGAGAATAATTTACTCTCATCAAGTATTGTTGAGAGTAATTTGATGGAGTCTAACAGTCCTGATCCCAAAATTAGACACGCGCATGATTTGGAGAAGCTAAGAGAATATATCCGTAGCATCTTATAGGTGAGAGGACCGATGACAATGTTGACCTTCGTCCATATTGGCTCTTAAAGGTAATCCTACGGTCGGAGAAGCAACGTGATCTTCTGTTAAGTGGCGATCGTGGTCACGATAACACCGAAATTCGAGTAAGACCTGATATGTTTCTTGAAGATAGAATAAAAAGGAAGACACCACTATCCGAACTGGATATCCATCGACAAAATGGTGAGAAAATTCTCCAATTAGTGGGTTTTCCAATAGTCAGGTCTTGGAAGCGAATGTTCAGGTAAACCTGAACTCCTTATTCCATTTGATCTGTCTATATCATATTAACTAATCAACGGTTTGAAATCAGTTAGCTTATCTGAATATGTTAAACAATTGTCTGAAACATTAAAATAACACAATCTCTCAATTACAAATACATCCGTTTTTGAATTCAGTCTTTTATCTTGTTTGCATATCTTATTTATCTTCATTTAATGCATGCTGTGACATTTTTGATTCATTTCATATATAAAACTATATGTTTTTCTTAATATACACAGACCGAAGACAATATATAGTTGAATGAAGTTTCTTCTCACATCACTTACGTATACACACAATCTGTTATCTTAACACTTTTTGTTTCACACCACATATCTCTTACACACTAATGTAAATACATACTTTAAACATTGTTAACGTTGATTGGATGACTTATTCAGTATACAGTAAATCAGAGAACCATGTACCTATTTATATTCGATAAGTTTGTTGTTTGATTATATTTTCCTTGAAAAATCTTGGACCAGATTGCCAGGCGAAACGTTGGATTTACTTCAAATTCTTTCACTGAGATTTTACAAATACATTCTTCCTCTTTAATGACACATTAATTCGGCGCCCAAATACTGTGAAACTATTCGTCCTTATCTAACATTCAGCTATGTTGTGCAAATAACAGATTCTTGGTATTATGAGATTTTAATGCACTTGATATTAATTGGACTGAGGTGACCATGGAAGGATCTATAAAAGCAAAGAAAGATTTGTGGAAGGTATTAATCAATTATCCAGGAAACAACACGGCTTTTGCAGTGGCTTATCATTCACTTGGTATTGTTTGGCTTGTATCTTCCCATTGAGGTTTAAGACTGCAATTGATCAGTCTGTTATTGGCATATGTCCATACTGTGCGTATGCCTCGATATTGTCTCTGCTAGTCACTAACCATAGAGGCCTATCATTTTTGACAAAACTTTTCATTGCAAGTGAAGATTGGGCTGCGGCGAAAGATCGATATATTCCTGTAGATGCGATCTTCATAGATTTGAGTAAAGCTTTCGATAAGGTATTACATTCTAGTTTTAAATTAAAACTGGAATCTTTTGGATTTCATTATGTAGTCATGGGCTGGACAAGTGACTTTCTTCATTGCATGAGACAAAAAGTAAGGGTAAATGAAGCTCTCTCATGGTGGGATCCTATAAAAAATGGAGTTCCCCAGGCACGATCTTCGGTCTCCTTCTCTTTTTACTTTATGTAGATGAATTATCAACTAACAAAATAATAATAATACATATTTCTGGATGTGCAGGTACACGCCATTTTTACAGGCATGATC